TCGTTGAGTTTAATGGAGGGACAGTGCTCTTCAGTTGTGGTAACCTACAAGAAAAATTAGATTGAGTTACTAGCTCACGCCAATTAAATTATTTCCATTTACACTCCTGAATCAATGTATTATCCATCCAAATGGAATATTACATGAGTATATAAGCATAGGCAGCAGTGTAAATTATCCAAAGGTTGTCGAGTCGCTTGCAAGCCTGTAATGGTAGGATGAAACATTAACGTTCGAGCAAAGGCTCTTCGAAATGTGAATGTTTTATCCTTGGCCAATGCTCGCAAGAGACATTGGATATTTATATTCATCCAGACAGTCTAAACTAGGGTTTACCTTGCCGTATAACTCCGTAAACGACTTGTATCTTTCTCCAGATGGGACTGGGTCAGGCAAGCGGTGAATCTGTTTAAATATATCTGGAGGAAGCCTTGGAACCTCACAGATCTGACAATCATCTGGAATCTGACACTTTAAGATACTGAACATGTAATGCCTGATTTGGCAGTGTGTATCAAGAAATTTCTTCAATTTCTCCTTGCGTTGGAGGTGCTTTTTGGTGCGGTCATCTGGTGTAAGTGATTCATCAACCTGAAACGAAAAGTCCCAAAGCATTTAATCTGACATTTGCTTTGTACTTTGTGTCTAGACATAGGTATCTATTACTCTGTAGGCATTGTTACCTTTAAAACTTCTTTCCAGAGCACATCAATGTCTTCCACAGATGCTGCATCTTGCGATTCGAAGTTGTGCTCCTTCAATTTCAACCTCTGGATGAGTGTTGACAGTAGCTCCGTCATCGGTTTGACAGAGTTTAAAACCTCTTCCTTCAACACTGGAATCTTCTTAGCTAGCTCACGAATACTCTTTAAGGAACCACATCGCTTTAGCTCACTTTCGTGAGGCACCTCTTCTCTCATAACACCCACACCTTGCAAGGCCAAATTTATTATACTCATGATCCTTTCCACAGGATTTTTCCAACTGTGTTGTGGAGGAGTACGAACGGCACATAGAAAGTCCAGGTCCAAGTTCAACCAAAGGGAGATCAGGGATAGCTGAACTGACAGGTAGGTTAACCGATGATCTGGTCCACCATCTGTATACAGCACAAGAATTGGTTTCACCGGGCCCAATCTTTGAAGAATGTTCTTCAGCTCTGCCATGTGTCTACGAGGAGATGATGGTTGAAATGCGTTCTCCTTGAAGAGAACAAATACTCTCCCACGATAGAATGACCCTTCCATGCTTTCAGGGACATCAATGATCATCGCCACGCTAGGTGTCAAAGTGAGCCTTGTGAAATCATGGTCAGCCACTGTAAGTTTCTTGTCTTTAGAAACCAGCACTTGCTTTCCACGTTCAACAGCTGCAACAGGACACTGTGGCTCACCTACTTTCATGGTATGTTTGTCATCCAAAGACGTAAAAGTAAGATGGTCACGAAACTTGATACTGAATTCCTTCTGATATCTGAATAGAGCAGATGCATAGTGCGCATCAACATGATTTGATCTCAGCTGACGAGCTAGCCTGCGAACAGGCTCTCAAGCTGAATTGAGAGCCTGCATCGATGACTAATGGATTTGAATATCTGCGTCTCAAATCGTGACGCGAAATTCTCATTGGTCAGATGCTATAATTTATATGTTTCCGCTGAGCTCTATATATGTCAACTGCTGAAGCACTATGCATAAAAAACACATTAACTGATCAAATTGGTCTTGGCCGTCTTATCTCAAAGCACGAAATGTTCTGTTTTGAGAAAACAGTATTTAAAATATTTGAACTTTTGCTTTAATATCTTATATTTCGAAAAACAGTATAAACTGTACGGTCTAAATTTAGTTTGCACGGTCTAAATTTAGTTTGCACGAAAGTTGTAAACAACTCCAAATAAGGACAGACATTCCATATTTGGAAAAACGAACGTTACGGGGCAGATATTCAAATTCATTAGTCATCGATGCAGGCTCTCAATTCAGCTTGAGAGTCTGTTCGCAGGCTACTGACGAGCCTGAATCATGAATTTGATTTTAAGCCGACCTGTATAGCGGCTTGCTGTTTTGGCACTGGGTCGCCGTGGCCAAAACTGGATTCGCAGCCACTGGATACTGGGTATGGCTGTCCCTTCTGCACACTTATTGGAGACCTGCTCGTGTAGATCTCGGACACTTAGAGCGGTTGCAAGGTGAGTAACCACATCATCACTGCCAACCACAACATCATGTCTTCTGTCATCAACAGCTGTTTCCACAGAAGCATTTATATATTGCTGGCAGTGCTGGAGGAATTCCTTGTATTCTTCTGGACGACCATCATTGTTGGTACGCAGATCCCAAATGAGTTCTGGGTCTTCTTTATCTAGGATTCTGGACACTCTCTGGTCTACGTCTGCCTCTTTGGTTGTGGAGGCTGCACTGGTGTCACCAGTCAACCTTCGGTAAGCTGCACGGAGAAATGCAGACTTACAACCAGTTGCTCTTCCAAAACTCTTTACAAATTCTTGCTTCATGGCTCTTGAGTGGTACACTGGGAGCGCCTTCTCCATGCCCTTCACGATATTGTGTGCCTCGTTAAGCAGATCTGACTCTGTTTTGAGATCACAGACTCTCCACAAGAAGTGCAAATGTTGTCCTGCTCCACCAGTATGGGTGAATAATATGGCCTTGTAAGGTGTTACTAGGGATGAGATAAAGTCATACCTCCTTCGACGATCTTCTGGTAAAAAGTCATTAAAAAAGATAGGCACATCTTCGCTTGCCTGAAGAAGGGACTCGTGAACCGCTGCATACGTCTTTCTGACAGTACCGTTGATGTTTGGGGTCACACAAAGCACTTTGAAATTGTCCCTGTCATTAGAGGTAAAGTTCAGTCTTCTATGGTTTTCTTTGACCTGATTTAACAAATTAAACGGGATACATTTAGAATATAAAAAAATAAATAGTAACATTTATTATATTGTGCTTACTTCCTAAGTTAGGGCCCCCTGGACATACTTCAGTGTAACAATGTAACCACCAATTCCCCCTGCCCCCCTTTAATAAGTTCTAGCAGGGTTCGTGCTACTCCTTAAACTCCTTAAATACTACTTGAATAAGTCTTGACTTTTCAAGGGCACTTGAAAAGCTCTTGAAATTTACAGTTTTAAATCTCTTGAAATTCTTGAAAAGCTCTTGAAATTTACAGTTTTTTTCTTGAATTCTTAAAATGTTTTTCTCAATAGTAAGTGAAACTATAATATGAACTTTTACTAGTTGCCATAGGTATTTTGTGGTCCTAAAACTGGAATGTAAAAATATAATAAAATATGCACTTACACGCTTGTTTTGGCTGGCAAGATAGTCCCCATACTTTGTTAGGCTATCAGCAAGTGACAGAATGGCTGTACGAATACTTGCCCATGAATCTTTTTTAAGATGTGAAGCAAGAGCCAGATTGTACAAGGCAGAACCATGTGCTTTCAACTCGTCTTGCTGAAGGAATGATTGATCAATTTTCCTCTTCTTCTGTTGCTCAGGATTGCGATATCCTGAGAAACAGCGAAGAGTTTCAGGTATATGGTATCCTCGACTTGAAAGGGTTGCATGGTTCTGGTCGATATACCACATGGCATCAGAAAGGGTATTCACAAAGGTCAGTCCTAGAGATTTCACTGAGTCAGGTGACCAACCAAGACTATTGGTTTCCAACCATTTCAAAATATCATTCTTCAACTTCGATTTTTGGGGATGGCGCTGCTCAGAGAACTGTGGTGGCAATGAAATGGATTTTGCGTGTGCATTTTCCATCAACACGCTAAACGCGTTTGTTACATTTGCACGAGCATTGTGGGCATGTTGTTTCTCAGCTGGGGGAATTACAAACATGACAAAGGAGCCAAGATTTTTCACCACATCAATCACAGAGGAACTTGAAGAAACTTTTGTGAAGTCCTTGATGACTTTGTTTGACCCTACCTTCACACATGAAAACGAACATCTAACGTCATCTTCGATAGGATCGTCGTCGAATTTACCATTGCAAAACTCGCGGTATAAGTCAGAAAGTATAATATCCACCTCAAGCGTACAGCCAAACCAATCTTTAATTGGTGTACTTGACCCTTCCCTGACCAAGCAGCATACAACAAATACCATTGTTCCAGCAAAAGCGTTTTATTTTAATGAAATCAAGTCATGTTTTATTCATAGAACAAAAACAAATATGGCATCGCAAGGCATCGCACCATATTAAAGAGCCTGGAAACGACTCACGAGAACCAGTGGATACCTGGGTACAAGAATGGATGCAATACATGACGTTGAACATAACTTGTTCTGGTGAAATTCGCCATTTTTATTTTTTTTCTACGAGAAAAATGTTGTTTTTAGAATTTTTACACCAAATATGAAGGTTTTTTTTTAAAAAAAAAATAAAAAAAATTTTGAGGTCGGGGGAATATTTCAGGTCGGGCGGGGACGCTAAACAAGCAATTTTTTTTATGTGGCCTAAGTTTGGTTATATCCAATTCACAACTTTGCATAAGTCACATGCCTAAGTATTATTGTTCTAGTGTACTGAAGCATAGAGTAGAACAAAGATAACTAAGCTTTAGAATTATCTAGCTACATGAATGAATGAATGACTTTTCAGTATAGTGTATAGGGCTTATCAAATGCTTAGTTACCTCTGTTCTATTCTATGTGTGAACTACTGTAGAACACTAACTCTAGGCGTGAATATTTAAAGTTGTGAATTGCATAGCAACAATGTAACTAACTTTGCCAAATTTATCTATTATACAAATTAATATGTTCTGTGTGTTTGAATTGTACAATAGTGAGTCGTAACAATACCTATTGTGAGATAACAGCTGTCCTGAGAGCTTTTAAAATATCATTTGCCAGCAAGGCAAGAAGCTCTATTAAACCCTTGTCCCATTAAGCAGATTCTATTTACATCCAAATAAACAGCAACTTGCGAATATTATTGTTGCAATTTACGAATTTCCAACTTTGTGAACTTTTGTCGTCTATTTCAGGCTTCCAGCCTTCCAAGTTTACTCATATAAGATGACTTTCGGTTTATAAAGTCTGGCTGATGGGAAAACTATGAAGTTTCATCGAAAAAATGAAGAAAATATGCACAAAATCGATTAAATTATTTCCAAATACGCTCCCAAGTAAGCGGCCATCTTGAATCCAGCGACTGAAAGTAATGATGTAATGTTTGACAAAAAAATGACGTAGGTCATTTTGTGACCAACAATCCGCGATGAAGCCGAAACCTATAGTCGCTGGAGGCACAGAGTGCCCTAGCGACTAATAAGCCATTTTTAGCTAATTTCGTCAGTTCCAAAAATGTTTACACCTGTTTATATGCATGTATCTTTGTCAATATGGCATCGAAATGTGCATGGCATACATCAATTTTTAAATCACTGAATGCCAATAAACTTGTTTTAGTGTCATTGCTCTTTTAGTTCTGATTTTTCAGCAATTCAAACAGTCATACTTTTTTTTGCCCCACCCGGTATATATATGAGAAAATGTTCTTGGGTGAGATATGTAATTTCCAGACAGTGCGCAAGCTGAAAAAGTAATTCTTCAGAACTACCAATATGCTTTTTGTTTTGTCTTGTTCATTATATGTTGAAGGGGGGAATTGTATATGCAAATGACATGGGATTTGAGATTTGCACTATGCTTGAAAGTGTGTACCTCAAGCTGCACAAAATCATGTCTGGTGAACTCTGATCATCCCGGCATGATACATATCATCGTTGGGCCACAAGGAAGGACCTCCCGTTCGGTGCTGGTATGGAGAAGTTTACAGAGGAACAGTGCTGTTCCATCTCGTCCACCATGAATGAACTTGCTTCGGAAAGTCCTGAGGTTCTGCTTGAAAAAGGATCATATGGAGAGGTTACTTTGCAGACCTATCAAGGCATGGCCGTAGCAGTTAAAAAATACAAAAACTGCTCAAAGGAGGAAGTTGTTTGTGAACTTATTACTGTTTTAAATGTTAAGGCACACAAGCTTTTACCTATAGTGTATGTAACGGATATCTGATAATGGATATAATAATGTGCAAATATGTAAATAAGATTAGTAAGTCATAATTAGCCGCGGATGCTCCACTACCAAGCTGCATCCGTGTTATAGTAAAAATAGCTCTCTAAATAATTAAAGGAAGGTAACACCCTAGAGATAGAGAATATAAATATGGAATCGGAAAATGAATAAAGTTAAGTTGGATCTAGACCACGTTGTGTGTTGTGTTAGCTCGGCTCGTTACATTTGGTGGCAGCGTAAAAGACTACAAGCAACGGCGCCTTTATAATGTCGACTGCAATACTCCCGGGAAAATTTGATGAGGGCGATTTTGACGCCTGGTTGTGCGAGTTTGATGCCTGTAGTACTGCAAATGGTTGAAAAGTAACCGAGACTAGCGATGATAAAATTTTAAAATTGCCAGCCTTCTTGCGTGGTCGAGCGGCTAGTAACTTTTACGCCATTCCTGAGGGAGAGAGGCGGACTTACGCGGATGCGGTGAAAGCAATGCGAGGAGCACTCTGCCCACCTGCAAAACGCGAAAACTTCTTCGCGGAGTTTGAATTGCGAGCTTTGAGGCCCGACGAAGATCCGTCGGTCTATAAATGGGAGTTGGAGAATATCCTCTCAAAAGCTGACTCGACTCTTTCGAACGATGCTAAGACTGCGTTGTTGACGAGGCAATTCTCGAGGGGTCTACCACCGACGCTGAAGCTGCTGGAGCATAACCCTACTCCTACACTGAATGAAATGGTCGAGTTCACTCAACGATTTTGTGCTCTTGGTCAACCAGTAGCGGCCGAGATACCTCCCGTGCAAGTTGATTCTGTTGCTCACTTGTCTTCCCCAGCAGACCCAAAATTACAGGAGCTTATTACCATGGTTGCTGGCATCGCGGAGAAACAACAAGCGGTAGAGAACCGCCTGAAACGTACGGAAAACACTGCACATACTCCATCTCGCCCGTCGACGTGTGGATCCTGCTATACGTGTGGTTTACCAGGTCACCTTGCTCGAGATTGTACGCGACAACGAGGCTTTGGTCCAAGGTGGATGATCACCTGTTATAATTGTGGAAAACAGGGACACATCGCGCAAGAGTGTAGATCACCGCGTCATTTAAACTTCTAAAGGATGGACGGAAAGTTGGTGGAAATCGCGCCCATCCTATCGTAAGTACAAATACCACTGATAATTGTACAATTATTCACCCGTTTGTTGATTGTTTTGTGGACCAAGTCCGTGTTCGTGCACTCATTGATACAGGCTCAATTAAGTGTTTTGTAAATCAAACTGTACAAAGAACAATTGATTTTGACGATCGTGCAATAGATAAAACTATAAAACAGAAATGTGTCTCAATTACGGGACACAATGTAAATATTCAAGGTCATCTATCTAGCACTGTTAAATTTTTAGGATCTTGTGCATCCTTTAACAGAGAATTTTTAGTTAGTAATAATATACCATATGATTGTGTTCTAGGCTGGGACTTTATCAGTCAAAATAATTTGTCTTTCTGCAAAGATGTTAATTTAGGTACCTATATTTTTGTTGGTAAACATGGGGCTACCCCCATCACTAACTCGCAATCGTCTACGACGGCAGATTGAGCGGGAGTAGTTGAGTCGAATGCACACATTGTACCTGTGAATTCGCAAGCCGGACGTTTGTTGTGTCAATCCCGCTTCCAAGGAAACACCGGTGTTTCTTTGGTGGAGAGTGTAATGATACCACCACAAACCGAAATAATTTTAGAGGGGAAATTGGCCAAACATGCCAAAAGCAGAATAGGTATGATAGAGCCACGTTCTAGCAGCAATAATGCTGTTAGACAGGGGTTTAGTATAGCGTGTGTTGTCGTAAAACCTGACAACAGAATTGTGCCTTTGCGTGTTCTCAACGCGTCTAATAGCCCGATCGAATTGACTGCTGGTGAGAATTTAGCAGATTTTTGTCCTTTGATTGAATCGTGCCTGTCTCAACCCAACATTTGCGGGGCGGTTGGGAATAAAATAACCCCACAGGTTATTTCAGATAAAATAGAGTCTATTGTTGACCCATCATTACAAGGGGAAGATAGGGGCAAGTTAAGAAATTTGCTACTTGAGTTTTCAGATGTTTTTGACGAAAGTTTAGGGCACACCAACATCTTGACACATGAAATTAACACAGGAAATAGCACGCCAATTAAGCAACATCCTCGCCGCATTCCTTTTGCCCACCATGAAGAATCTGAGCGACAGATCAATGAAATGTTAGAGAAAGGCATAATTCGTGAGTCAACAAGTCCTTGGTCTAGTCCCATCATTTTAGTTAAGAAGAAAGATGGCGAAATGCGCTTTTGTGTTGACTACAGAAAGCTAAACTCTGTCACTGTTGGCCATGCGCACCCTTTGCCTTGCATTGATGATATATTAGATTCATTAGGAAACTCGCACTATTTTTCCACATTAGATCTAAAAAGCGCCTACTGGCAAATTTCTGTTGAGGAAAAAGACCGTCATAAAACTGCTTTTGTCACTCAGCGCGGTTTGTTTGAATTTAACCGAATGCCTTTCGGCCTTGTTAACGCGCCAACTATGTTTCAAAGAGCCATGGATCTTGTGTTAAGTGGCCTTTCCTACGTAATCTGCTTGTGCTATTTAGATGATGTTATTGTGTTTGGCCGTGATTTTAATGAACATTATAATAGGCTGAAAACAGTTCTAGAGAGATTGCGCTCACATAATCTTTTCTTCTATTGCAATGCCATTACTACAGTTGACGCAAAAAGTGGCGCAATTTAATTGGACGGATGCTTGCGAACAAGCGTTTCAGTGACTAAAGCACTTATTATGTTCTGCCCCCATCCTCGCATATCCTGACTTCAGTCAAGCATTTATTTTGCAAACAGATGCGTCTGACTATGGCGTTGGTGCGGTTTTGTCGCAACTTGACAAGTTAGGAAATGAGAAAGTTATTGCTTATGCGTCCAAAGCTCTTTCACCTCGCGAGCAGAAATACTCGACAACTGAAAAAGAAGCGTTTGCCATAGTCTTTGGCACAGCCCATTTTCACATATATTTGTTGGGTCGCCATTTCAAATTAATTACTGACCATAGTGCCTTACGCTGGCTACACACTATGGAAGCTAAGGGTCGTTTAGTTTAGCACGGTGGATTATGGACTTATAGGAGTTTGATTTTTCAGTCGCCCACCGTGCTGGCCGCATTCATAATAATGCAGATGCGCTCTCATCTTGTACAAGCTAATTTATCAGATTCCACCACAAGCATTATAAAGGATGCCTCGCAACCAGCATTTGTCTCAACAATACGTGTTAAATTATCTGGTGGACGCACAGCGATTGTTAAGTTAGAAATTAGTAAGCCACTTATAGTTGATACAGACGGCAGTTTAGTCAATATTTCTGGTCCGAATAGATGCGCTGTTCCTCCCTCCCCCCAGGACTTGAAAGAGGTCAATACAATTACATTAAACCCAACCATGAATCTTCGAGATAGTCAACGCGCTGACCCACATCTCACATCCATAATTGACATGAAAACACGCACATCGCCTAAACCAAAGTTGACACAAATTCAGGATCCTGCACTTAAGAGTTGGTTTAGGCACTACGACCAATATTTCGTTCATGATGAAATATTATATAGAGCGCTTGGTAGCAGTAACAGCTCTCACCCACAACATGTAATATTAATACCCTCTGCTTTGCAAGCAAACATTCTCAAAACACTACATGATGGGCCACTAGGGGGTCATTTAGGTATCACTCGTACCGAGGAATGAGTGAGGAAACGATTTTATTGGCCTGGCACTTCGAAAGTCAGTAACCAAACATATTCAGTTGTGCAAAGTTTGCAATCAAAAGAACTCCCCAATTAACAGAAACACAGCTCCATTAGGTCATATTTCAGTTAGCCAACCTTTTACTTTCTGGGTAATGGATTACATGGGACCATTGCCAGAAACAGGTCGTGGGAACAAACATATCCTAGTGGTTGTTGACCATTTCACCAAATGGTGTGAAGCATTTGCAATTCCAGATCAGAAAGCCAGCACAGCTGCGCCACTTTTAGTAAGCTGCATTTTCTCTCGGATTGGACCTCCAGCAGTCCTGCATTCAGATCAAGGCCGAAACTTTGAAAGCACACTACTACACAAAATCTGCAACTTTATGGGTATTACGAAAACGAGCACCACAAGCTACCATCCTCAGTGTGATGGACAAACTGAGCGGCAAAACCGAACTATTCAGGCTATGCTTTCAGCTTTTGTTTCAAATAGAAGAGATGACTTGTGGCTGGATTCAGTTACATTTGCTTACAATACCAGCAGACATGACGCATTAGGCATTTTTTAGGAGGTAGTTTTTGGTCAATTACCAAGGCTGCCAGTTGAATTGGAATTAGGAATGCCTCTAACAAATCCTTCCACACAGAGTGAATATGTAGTTTCAGTAAGGTCAGCATTTCATGATATAAGGATGCATAGCAGAGGAACATTTGTCAAAAGCATCCGAAAAGCAGGCAAGGCTCAATCAATCGACAAACACTTGGCGGCCTTTCGATTCGGGTGAAACAGTCATGTTGAAAAGACCAAAAGGCTGGAAGTTAGGAAATAAATGGGTTGGGCCTTACAGAATTCTAAAACGGTTTGGGGTCGACTATAGAATAGTTTCTACGGGAGGGAAGGTAATGGTCGTTCATCATGACCAGTTAAAATGCAGTTATATCCCTTTTCAAGAGGGCGAACCGGTTTGCCCTAGTAGGGAAGTAGGTGAGTTCCAGGTGGTTGATGTTACACCTCCACATGTCGGTATTGACGGTATTCCTCGTGTTCGACCTGCCAGACTAAGACAACATATTAATCCACCATTGAGATACGGATTTGACTACAAATATGTCCTCGGGACGAGAACATAAAGGAGGAGGATAGTGTAACAGATATCTGATAATGGATATAATAATGTGTAAATATGTAAATAAGATTAGTAAGTAATAATTAGCCGCGGATGCTCCACTAGCAAGCTGCATCCGTGATATAGTAAAAATAGCTCTCTAAATAATTAAAGGAAGGTAACACCCTAGAGATAGAGATATAAATATGGAATCGGAAAATGAATAAAGTTAAGTTGGATCTAGACCACGTTGTGTGTTGTGTTAGCTCGGCTCGTTACATGTATGCCATTTCTATTTAACATAGGCCATTTTTAATGATTTCACAATTGTATTGGTCTTTGTCAACAAAACGATCAACAATATTATTTTAAGAAATATACTCATGGTAGTCGTGGCAGTGGGAACAATGATTATTCAGCTTCTAAAGGTCCTGTTCATGCAGTTTCAACATCCGATAATATATTGAAAAGTGACAGAGAATTGCTACAAATAGCTGGGACATTAACTCTAATATTGTACCTAAAATAATTGTTTTCGGGAAATCGAGTATGATAAGCAGCCCATGCTGCTGTAGTTGCATAATTGTAAAAATTAATGTGAAATTAAAATATTCCAACATGGCAAAAGAATTGTTCTTCGGCAAACCTACAAGCATCGAAACAGATATATTTGCATTTGCTCTCACTATAAAATCTGCAGTAGCGTATCAGCATATACACTTAATGAGTTATTTCACAATACTAATTCAAATTTCAAATCATATATATGTACCACAAAATTAACATATTTTTTGTACAAGCAAACAATGCAGCATTTCTTATCTCGTCCAGCCAGGGCCAAATTCCTAGTTCTTCATTCTTGGTCAGAATCGTCTGACTCCATCACTCATCTGACAAGGACAAGTATATTTCACAGCAAGTTCATCGGTAAGCGAGATGTTCCGGTAAGCAGGATCATATGAACAGGCCCTAAGCCATGGCCTAAGCCTAGGAAACATTGTTGTGGAAACATTTGTGATTATCGATGCTTCCCGAGAAGCAAAAATGTTTCCTAGCAAATTCAAAAACATTTGATGTTTCCCTATGTTTCTCACTAATGTTTCCTAGTGTTTGCTCACTCTGGCAGGAAACAATGTTTCCACAACAATGTTTCCTAGCTTTTTTTATAAGTGATACTCAAATAATTTTAATAAGACATTACATTGTAAGATATTTATTAAAAATTAAATGTTCAATATGAATTTCCTTAGGAAATTCTTTTACCGTAATATGTGTATGATACTTAAATGTTTCGTGGGTTAAATCAGCTTTATAGATACCACATTTTTAAAGATTACACGGATATAAATACACCATTGTTTAATATCAGCCATATTTGTTTTGGAGCTCGTTATTCTGTCGTATACCACTTCCGGTATTCATTAAGCCGTCGCTTTATTTAGTTTGTGTTTGAGGATTTTTGAATAACTTTTTTTTCTTTGCCCATTTTTCTAACTTGCCATTTATTAAAAAATCCTCAAAACCTACAATAAAATAAAGTGACTGCTATATAATTTTGTACATTTTTAATATTTCAAAGCAAACTTTCTTATTAAAAACAGCTCGTTTATAAACAGTATTGCTTGAGAAATCTTGTCTGTGTCAGTTAAGTTCTCTGAAGTTTTGAAATACACAACTTAAAATAGCAGGGTTTCAAATGCTTTAACCGATGATCTATTAAATACCGCTATCGATCCATCTGATATGAGTTTATTGGCAAACTAATTTTAACTATGAACGTTGCCTATTCCGTGAAAATCAAAGCTCAAGTTTATGTAAAAATGAACATAAACTTTTCATCACTTATAAAACCATCACCAACGTGGTAGTGATGTCCTTTGTTTTTTCCTGATGAATTATTAATAACTTTTTTAATCATCTTGTTAGTAAATCAACTGTGTAGTAGTATTGAAAATGTTGTCGTTTTACAGTAATAATTTTGTACATAAACTTTGTATACTTAAACCTTCATTGAAATTAATATAATTAGTTATATAAACCACTGTTACACATAATTTAAATGTATCAAATGTAATTCACAAATATATAACGTTCGTAATTTTAAAACATTGGCAAAACATGGAGAATTTCAAAGAAGTTATTGAGCGGCGTTCTCCATTCTCAATAAAATTACTCAGCCAAAGGTACGTTGCGACGCATCTTGACCGAATCAAGTCATTGTTAAACATATGGGATCTTATAGGCAGTACGTGAGTGACCTTGAATACAGGACGACCTTAACATGGGCTGCTGCGTGGTGTGCAAGGAGGACCAGGCAGAAAAACCAATAGCCATGGTCATCGCCTCTGCAAGTGCATACAGGGCAGATGTCAGGAGGTCGACGGAGCTGAATTGGCGAAGAACCAACGCCTACAGGGAGAAAGAAGATCAATGGTGTTTGGATTATTTGGTGAGGTCGAGGGAATTTGGTGGTAGGGGGGTTGGGTGCTTTGCGCTGGTTGGTTTGTTGGAGTGCTTCTGCAGTCGTTTTGATGATGCCGTTTTGTGCCGGTTGTTGCTGGCTGGTTCTCCAACAGAAACACGCTCTCTCTGTACACAACTGTTGGGTTTCTTGTCACGTCGCTTGACTCTGACAAGAATCCCATCATGTTGTTACAAGTCCATGACATCGGACAGAGAGCGCACAGAAAGGTGGTAGACACCTTAATTTCAAGGCATGGGGCGGCAGCTGCAGAACAGGGTGGTGGTGGTAATGGTAGTGGAGAAGGTGGTGGTGATGGTGGTGGTGGTGGGGGTGATGGCCATTGCGCACGAAGGTTGAGGAGGAGAGTGAGAAGAGGTGGAGTACAACCAGCCCGACGAGGTGTGCTTGTGAATATGGAAAACCTCACCTTTCGTATGATTGAGGACCACCTTACGCCACTGAATGGGCAAGCTTGTCTTGCCTCTGCAGGCAGGACTGGAAAACGACATGATGCGCCACCTGTGGTCAATGTTGGACAGGACGGCGTTGAATCCATCAGCGCAATCCTTCCTCATTCACTTGAACGTAGCCAAGCAGTGCCACCATATTGTGTCACAAAGGTGGCTTCACGTTTCCAGATGGATTGCAGAGCAGAGACAAGAGAACAGAGAGAACCAGGAATAGAACAGGCGGTTTGCTGTTTCTCTTGCCAATGACGTTCTCCTCCTCTGGAACATTTTCAAAATTCCCTGCTTAGCTTTGCTGGAGATAGGCTATGCCTGTTTGTGTCGTCCTGGCGGTTTGAAAGACATTGTGCGTTCGTGCGAAGAGCGAATCAACCGTGGCCAACCTCTACCACACTCCATCCTCAATGCACAAGAGGAATTACACAAGTAATAATAATAGCTTTATTCATCCATCTTAAGATAAAAAAGTACAGTGGACTTACAATTACTTGTTTAAGAAAGTATATATGCTGTGGATATGTCTTTATATTACAAATTGTTGTAAGATAATTTAGAAAACTAACTAAGAAGTTAAAACTAATAAGTTCTTTAATCTAATAAGTTCTTCTAATAAGTTAAAACTATTTATACATATTTACAAGCTCTTCCTGAAAAAGAATGTTTATGCCTTTCAGTTCCTGAGAAGAATGATATATTGCGATTCCGGTCAATGTTCCTTAAATTGTACTGATTGTTAATTAATTTTGGCAAAACACTGCGACAGGGATGGTGTGGATCGTTCATAAACCTATCAACTTCTCGACTAGTTGCCTCTTCCCTTCTTTTGTTCAACGGTGGTAGGTAATCTTTTTCCAGGCCAAGGATTCTTAAGCTCCTGGATTGAACCCGCTCTATTTCATCTCGCAGGTAATTAGGGAGTCCCGCCCAGACAGGTGATGCATACTCGAGAATTGGTCTTATTTTGGATTGATAGGTAATAATACCGACTTCAGCTGGTAACTGCGATTTCCTGCATTCTCTAAGATGGTAAAGGCGTTTATTTGCTTTACGTGTAATCTCTTCAACATGTGCGTTCCATTTTAGATTATTTTGGAACGACACGCCAAGTAATTTAAAAGCGTTGACCCTTTCTATTAACTCATTTCCAATACGAAGACGTGGTGGTTCAGGTATAGCGTCCGTGAAAGAGATCCACATGTCCTTAGTTTTTCTAGCATTAATTGCCATTTTATTTAACACCGCCCAGTTATTTACTTCATTGATAGATTGTTGTAAATTACTATTAGAATCTACGCTCACTATTTGGTGTTGTGTGCAGTCATCTGCATACTTATTCGTACTGACTTTTAGTTGTTCTGGTAAGGCGTCCTCCAAATCATTAATGTAGGTATTAAAAAGAATGGGAGATATTACAGAGCCTTGCGGGACTCCGGCCGGGCATGTTGCAATGGATGATAAGGTACCATTGAGATTTACTTGTTGAACTCTTCCGGAAAGGAAACTTTTAATCCATAACCAGAAGGGTTTATTTATGTTCATAGCTGCTAATGTGTTCAATTGCCCATTTTGCCCCATTTTGCCTGTTTTTGAACAATCAGTGGCATTAAACCAGGATTGGGTAGTTGATATAAACGCAGAGACTGTGCTTCGATGTTGAGTAAATGCGTGCTGGTTATTCTTAATTTTCAGATCTTCAATATTTAACTGGAGCTGGATCTTTTCCAGAATCTTGGCAAGATGGGGTAAGACTGATATCTGGCGGAAATCATTGTTAATGTCTCTCGGTGGTTGCACTTTAGGAACAGGGGAAATTAGGGCATGTTTGTAGAGTGATGGATAACAACATTGACTTATACTACAGCACACAATGTCATAAACCACAGGAGCTAGGTCTTTGTGGTATTGTTTGAGCATCCATGCAGGAACCTTATCAATGCCAGTTGCTTTTCTTGGATTAAGATGTTTTAAGACCGCTTTAACTTGGCCAATAGAAGGAAGGGGTGGTTTGTTATTCTTATGTGGGTGGTTCACTTCAGGTATTTCAAAGGCGACATTCGTGTAACGGCCCGACCATGGTTTAGTGAAGGCTTTCTGAAGTTTTTCAGCTAAGTCGGATAAGTCTAGGTTTTCGGGCCTGTGTGGAAATTGGGTGTGGGTTGTGTTTTCGGCATTTACTAAAGAGTAGATACAGTTATACCACTTCGATTGATTCGAGGTACGAAATTCTGAGGCCTTGGACCGATAGTAGGTGGCTTTAGCTTTAGCTATAAGATTTGCCACTTTCTCGCATAGTTGTTTGTATCTTGGCTGATCACCACGAGAAAAGGCCTTCTGACGAGCTTTGATTTGCATTTTAATATTACCAGTGATCCACGGTTTATCAGAGTGATGTACTCTGATGGTTTTTTCAGGTAAGAACTCGTAAAGCATCTTGATTATAATGGAGTTATAAGCTGATACTTTCTCATCCACATCCAGTGCTGAATATACAGTAGTCCAATCTTCAGAAGCCATATTCAGGGAGAGGTCATTTAAATTTGCTTGTTTCATCAATCTAATTTTTTTTGACGTAACCGGAGTTTTCTGTCTTTTAATGGGCTTGATTAGAAGACATTGGTGGTCGGAGCGTCCGATTGGGGGGAGATGGCTAACAGTGTCAAAGAGAGGGAGCATATTTGTAAGGATTTGATCAAGAATGTTGTGTCCTCTAGTCGGTTTAGTTGCAGATCTTTTTAAATTAAATCTGTTGCATAAATTAATTTTAGTTGATTGAAGTCCCCAGCTATAACAATTCCAGATGAAGGACGTTCGCGCAAGAGACTATCTATACAAGTAGTTAAGTATTCATTCATATCGATTGCTTGTTCGGCGGATTGACCAGGAGGGTAGCACACAACAGCAGCAACAATTGTACTGTAAGGTCTAGGGGTTCTGGGGGGTTTTAACAACAACCATATCACTTCTTTGTTTTCTTCTTCGAGGTGAGTCATACGCTCTGCTGGTAAACAATTATTCACGTAGGCGATCACTCCACCGCCAGGAGACTTTCTATCGCGACGAAATATGTTGTATTTATTACCGATCTTAACCGAGGAATCACAGATATCATCACTTAGCCAAGATTCAGTTATCATTACCACGGATGGGTCATAGATCGATACAACAGCAGCTAATTCGTCTACCTTATTTGTTATATGGCATACATTTGACAAGAGGAAGGACGAGACTGAGGATTTTCCAATGGTGGGGTTTGTATTAGTCTTAATGTTAATTAAATTATTAAAATTTACACTTCTCTGAGATGTATAATTATCACTTGTCCGTTGGATTGCGCCTAAACGAGGGTTCCAAACTGGTCCAAGGTGCGGTTGACCAGCTCTAGGTAAGCTTCCCAGGACTCCGTTTCTCCAAGCTGTAACTCTGACTTTGATTGGAAAGGATTCACTTTGTATGCTGGGTTGATTTGACTTGCTCTTGTATCTGTATTGTTTGCTGTTGTTCTTGGTTTCGGAATCCTCCGATAGCGACCGCTTCGAAAAACCTGTGAGGGAAAATTTGCTTGACGATATTGATGTTTAGGCTCGGAAAACTGATTGCGCCGGTAATTAGGTTTCGAGAAATGCGTTCTGTTAGTTGAGGAATTATGCATTGGATTCCTCTTATGACGATCCATGTTGGCGTTTAAGGCGGCCTGATTGCGCCGGTAATTAGGTTTCGAGAAATGCGTTCTGTTAGTTGGAGAATTATGCACTTGATTCCTCTTATGACGATGCATGTTGGCGTTTAAGACGGCCTTTTCTTTTAGGAGATGGTCGAATGAGGTCAGGGAGTCTTGGACGACTGGTTTATTGGGATTTCTATATTTCATAAGAGAGTCATTAACAACTGGCCCTCGGGTATTATATTGTTTCTCTTTGTCTGTCGCAGATGGTAAATTATTCATATTAGTGTTTACGTTAACTTCAGATTCTTCTATATCAATTAGTACAACAGAGTCATTGTCAGTGATGGTTGGTTGATTATTCATATTATCGATAGCGATGTTAATTGGCGATTTTGACAATTCCATGCCGTGCAGCGTTTCCTTGAGTAATTTAATTTCTTGTTTCAATAGCTGATTTTCGTTTCGTAGCCGATTACATTCACATGTAGCGGGAGCTTCAGCAGTATTAACTTTTAGGAATAATAATGCTAAATCCAATTTAATTTCTGCTACTTCTACAGATAATTTACTACAGTCTTTGCAATTCATTATATAATCGCCTTCGTTCTGCTTGTGTGAACACATTTCTTGCTCATTTGCTTTTCCTTCGCTAGCATCCGAGTCGCTTCGGTTGATAGTTGTTGTGGTATTACTAGATCTATCAAACATGTTCGAGTTAGAATTGTTAATACTGAGACTACACTGGTTATCGATAGTTTCATTCCGTCTTTCGGAAGCAGCAGGGGTAGCAATGTTTAGCTCGGCATCTTTCACTATTGCAATTCGCGATGCATCGATATTTTTCTTCAAAGAGTCAGCCACTTCGCTGCCACGAGGACCTTGAAATAGGACAGTTTTGCTTTTACAATACCAGGTTATAGACAAAGCATCGCTAGTAAATAACCAGCGTCCACCTGATGGTGATTTCCATTTACCATTTATGTTTAACTTTTCTGCGACGTAGGACTTTAATTCGCTTAAGTCGCCATTCCAGATGAGTTTGTTCTTTTGTAATTCGAAGCAATTGCTCATTTTAGGTCAATGTATTATCCCTTAGAAGTGATTTTGAACTGTCTATATCGCGACTCCAATAATACGATTATGCAATAATACGATTACGCAATAATACGATTATGCAATTATGCAAGGCGGCGCGATTTTTAAATTTTTACAATCTTCTAATATTTGTATGAAGAAATATTGAAAAATCGAATCGCATTGTGGAATCGCTTTTTTAACGTTATAATCTATTATTAACATTACCTTCTATCCATTCTCCCTTTATTATAGATACAGCATAAGGATGGAAACGTCATTTCCCGAACAGCCGATTGGGGATGGTTTGAGTGGACTTTGGATCATCAGCGTGTCCGATCGTTGAATATCCGTTTGAATATCCGTTTAGAACTACATCCTTAAAACAGAAAAAAGCTTCAAAGAGTTTAATCTAAAATTGATTCGATGGCTTTTTCACTCAGCCCTACTAGGAGGGGCAGCCCTCTCTACTGCGTTTATGAGAAAATTCCAGCCCTACTAGGCGAGATCTCGGGTGAATAATAGTGAGATCTTGCCAGGGACGGCTGGCCCTCTTCTCATGTAAACGTAAACAATTTTTGCAGCCTCCTTGTAGGGCTCATGTAAACAGCCCCTTAAATAAGCTTAATTATTAGGTTTGTGATGAGGTTGCCTGCCATCAGCATTTTGCACAGCAAGGCAGACAGTGGCTGGAATTATATACACATTGTTACGTAATGAAATATTTTGAGTGAAAACAAAATGAATGTCCTTCAAAGTTCAACTGTATATACCTATAATTGGAACAGTCTTTCTTCTGCCTGTACAATGATACAATTTTAGTTTTTCTCTGACGTAGACAGCAATCTGGTTTTTAGGTGCCAGAAACTCGCCTTCACACCTTAGCTTAATAGAGCTGAAGGAATTTGGTTAGACACTTGACCTTCTGGGGTATTTCGATGGGTGTAAAGCCGCTCAATTCTTATACACCAGCTCTGGTCGTTTTAACCCATTTTTATTTCTCTCTTCAGCTGATGGAATGAACCTGTGACCAATTGTTGATCCATGGATTGCTGCTGATATGAACATACAGTAAAACGGTGTGTATTTTAAACGTATATATTTTACCCTCGATTCCACATGAGTCTCAACCTAGTTAGACATCGAGGGAAATGAACAAAAGAATCAATGTTGTTCTATTTAATTTAAGAGCCTGTTTAGGCTAAATCAAAGAAAATAGTCATCTGAAAATAATCCATCTGATTGGCTTATTTTTTGTCACATGATCACTTTTATATTTTTAGTATAATAGCTCATGTAATTTTCCCGACCCCTGCGACTAACTTGCCCAACAAAGGATCAATTCTCTTGAAACGTCGAATTTCTGCTTAAATTTTTCAGTTTAAGTTCTTAAGGTCGAAACCCACTGGACACGATTCAACAACACGATTTACAACGTAGTACTATTTACAACGTGAGCGGCCATGTTGTATCGGATATACAAACTCGAGCCGAAGGCGAGAGTTTCTTATGAGTTCATTGGCAAAGTAATTTTAAAAATAAATGTTGTCTAAGCCGAGAAAATCAAAGTTAAAGTTTACGTAAATCAACATGAATCTGTATCACATATCCAGACTCCTTCACACCCATGATTTCTTTTGTGTGTTCTTTGTGAATTATTAACAAGTTTTTTAACAAGATATATAGACCAAATAACAGGGTGTCCACAGGCCTTGAAAATCCAGGAAAGTCCTTGAATTGGAAAACCAAAATTCCAGGACTGCAAAGTCTTTGAAAATCAGTAGAATTCCTTAAAAGTCCTTGAATCAATTCCCATTGAAATCCAGCTGTGCCAACATTAGTGACTTTGATTAAAATTACTGTATGAAGTGAATTATTTACGGCAAATCCGTTCCATTCTCAAAGATTTTTCCCAGTTCTAGGTCCTTGAATTTACTGAAAAAGGGCCTTGAAAGTCCTGGAAAAGTCCTTGAATTTCACCTTCACCAAAGGGTGAAATAACTCAAAATGTTATAGTGCTTCTAAATATTTGAAAACATTGAACTGGTCGTTGAAAATCGAAAAATCGCACCACGTTGACGAATCGCGTCCGGTGTGTCTAGGCCTTTATACGCGGGGTTTTACTGTATACAACTGATTGTGTCTCTTCAGGAACATTAAATGATGACATCATCTGATATCTAGGAAATAGTGATTATAGATAGCGTTAGTTAATGAAAGTTTGCATCATGTAATAGGTAATACAGTTGTTTTCTTAAGTTGGTCTTGTGTCGTTATTATATTACTGTATGTCCAGTTTCCTCGTTTGATTATTCAAAGCATATCTTGTACAATCGTACCTTGTCTCAGCGCGGGATCCACAACTCCCTCCTTCTACCCTCCCTGTTTGGCTGCTCGTGATGCAGTCTCCTGCATAAGTGGGGGGCTAAAAAAGACGCAGTCTGTTATTAATTAGAGGAATGTGGATTACTCTTCTTATAATATTTTGGCTAAAAACAACAATGAAGATGAGAAGTTTCTGGGGGAGGGGGTGATTAAAATAACTGTGTACCTTGGAATGGTCTTTCTTCCATTTCGAGTCCCCAAGCACAAATTCTGCTCCTCTTTGAATGCCAGCCCAACGCGATCAGGCAGGATGTGGAGCGGCATGGTGTAGGCCCATCCAGATGCTACGCACTCTTCTGCTAATGTCCACTGGGGCAATATATGCGTGGTCTGGCCCACACACACACCGCGTACATCTGTGAGCAGATGCCCGTACTGGTCGACGTAGGTATCGATTATCAGGGCAGGTGTTTCCTCATCCACTTGAACGATTTGTTGCTGCAGTTGTGCCATCCTGGCTTCTTACCTTATATAGAAGTGTTCAACGTTCATCATAAACAGCATCATAAATTTCAGCGATGGTAGAACGCAGCTCGTACGCCTGTTCTTTGCTGTCGTATACAATGTGTATTGGGTATATGATAGAGTTCAAACTTTCCCACCAACTGCTGTCTACAACTGCGCGGTAGAACGTTTCTCTTCCTTCTACTTTACAGAATCCATTAAAAGAACCTTGCTTGCTCAAATTTTTACAACTCTTCCTATGAAGACCACCGCATCCTCTGCGCACGTCGAGACACTGTCTACAAGACCGACCATATCGCCAACACATATTTGACAAGGTTGCGGCGGTTCTACGACCTTACGTGGGCACGACAATTCCGCACAAGATTCCACCCGAGGCTTCTTGTAAGAGGTGGCTTCTGCTACGCTTTTGTAACCAAATCGAGACTTAAGAATGTCCGGTCTTGCTGTGAAATATCACAGTAAGTCGTTTGTTGGTGTTTCAAAGAATGATGCATTAACACTGCCAAGCTTTCACACAGTCAGAGACTTTCTGCCTCTGGTAACGACAACACATGCGTCACCAAAGCATGGGCGTCACCAAAGCATGGGCGTCACCAAAGCATGGGCGTCACCAAAGCATGGGCGTAACCTCGTTGTACCTGCACGAACATGCACTTCTCTCTCAAACAGATCGACCAAGTATAATGTAAAGGATGATGATGTGAACGCCAAACCGGTCGCGGTCATAAACGTGAATGAATAAGATTTGCCACAAAGATCTGTCCTCGTTCTAATGTATTCTTTCACGTAGGGGACAAGCCACATGGAGGATTTATCAATGTTGTCATTGTCTGTACCACGGTTGAAATGTTAAGCTGTCGAACGTCTAGCTGATAAGTGGTATATGCCTGTACAACGTCGGCGTCTTTAACAAATGTGAAATCTAACATGCGTTCGGGGTATTTGATACGACAAAAGTTGAGAAAACATTTCACTCACTCTAGAAATTTCCTCATTGTTGAGGCTGAAAAGGCACTGCTTGGATTCACTGTTAAGGTGTAAAAGTCACTCAGCCCATCAATTTCCAATTGCAATTCAGGGCATGTGTCCTGCCTCTTTAAGCATCCTACTTTAACGGATGACGTTGCCTTGCAAGAATTTGAGAGGTCATCAGAACTACTACAGTTTTTAACTGAATTTGATTGTGGATTTTCTGCGTTGGCATCATGTAAATTGTTGGAAGATTCGTCAGTGCAACCATTTGAAATGTTCATAATTGTACTTCAATTAGCTGAATTTAATTGTGAAATTTCTTGGATCATCGCATCAGAAAGATTTTCTGTGTTTGCATCATGTAAATTGTTGCTACCATGTCGTTATTCCAGGATGCTACAATTGCCACTGATGATGAGATAACACTGACAGCAGACTTGAATGCGGGTATCAGAGCTGACTTTCAGAAATGGTATACCAGCGACTTTACTCAGAAAGTGTGGCAACATGGTTGGACCCTCGGTACAAATCTGCATACCCTGACAGAGGAGGAATGCAGAAATGCCACACAGAAATTAAAGGCGTTGATGATGTTTGAGGTTGAGCGGGCAGGAAATGATGCAATACTTGTGTATTTGTGGTACAAGCTCTGCTTCCAAACGACTGTTCAGTGTCGCTGGTAACATTGTACCGGTCGTTTAGGGTTAATATAGGGTTAACCTGTCGTTTCTTCCTTTGCAAGGTGCAAAGATTTACACTATTTGACATATTTGTAGTGATAATATTTAACACTTTGAATAAATTATGTATGTATGTAGTTTTAACTTTTATACTGTATATATTGCATAGTTTTGACTTTCATAAATATAGTTATTAAAATTTTGACTTTTATATACATAGTTATTAAAATTTTGTTTCGTTTTCTGTGAACGTTCATTTTTTTGCTCATAATTTTGCTGCGATGTATGTAGTTCAAATTATAACATAAAATGCTATTATAAGTTTCAAATTGCATTCCTTGACTCTTCAGTCAGTTCAAAACTGAATGCATGTCAAGGTACATTCGTATACTGATATAAAAAAAATTGCTGCTGACACTACAATTCTTCTTAATTAAATTGTGGGAAAATTTGATGAAAAAAAAAAGGTTTTACCAGTTTAAAATCGGACGGTTTTTATTTTAGGCAAAACCGCCCAAGTCTATTGGAGACCCTTGTTGGAGACAGACGACAAAATGTTTGAACTAAATATGTAACAGCATGTTACATTTCTGCAGTAATAATTATCACAGTTATTGAGAGACTATGGAGTATCCAAGCAACAAACTCCAGTACCTATAAATTTTTGCAAGTGACCAGCACAAGTGATAAAGTTGCAAAGTTGTTTAATCTTAGAGAAAAATTCATTTGCCTATCGTTTGGGTTTCAACCTGGTGCTGAGAGGCTGACAATTGCTAAATGGACACCTAAATTTAATCCATTAATGGAGGAGGATTCCAGGTTTCTGTACGAGTATGACAAGTTACAGGTTGGGATGGAGCTGGCATTGGGCGGCAAAAGGTATCTTCTAAATCCATTTCAGATGATGTCCTATTTGTGGAAATATGAAACGTTTGGGAAACATGAGCCAGCAGCTTGCAGCAGTGATACCTCATATCACTACCCAGCATAGTACAGCTGCTGTCGTCGCATGCACCAGACAATTGAAGGCATGGGTCAACAATCACTTCATCAGCGTGCAGAAAATAGCCTGAAAGCCTCTTCAACCCAACAGCACTAGTATCAACACCGCAGGTCAGGAATGCCATCCTGAAACATTTTACTAAATTTATGCTCTGAACGAGAATATTCTTATCGGGAAATAAAAACCATACAACTCAAAGAATTAAAGCTGTATATTTTGCAGTATTGCGGTAAGACAGAAAACACTACTATGCTTCACTGTAGTGGTTTTTACAAGAAAGTGATGGCTGACCTATGTATTGATGACACAAACAATGCAAACTAAAACAAGAACTGAGGCAACCTGTATTAATAATAGTAACATAACAACAATAGATGGAACAAAACTGAAAGGGAACAAAATGCCAAGTGTTTTCTGGAGTATCTCCTTAGCTATAAAGATATACCTGTATTGAGTTCATAACTAGTATTTAAGTTAATAAATGATCAATATTAAAACAAGAGTTTTCTGGACACTGTCTTCTAACAAAATATCCAGTCAAGGTTGAATGTCACTGATTTCATTGATTTGTTATTGACTATCAAATGTAAATTTGAATACTTTCTTGGTGGATAGCAAAGCAGTTGTGAGTTGTTGTGTGAGATCAATTTCTATGAGTGATCCCATAACATCTCCTAAGGATGACGGTTTGGTTGCTTCATTGCTGGGTTTCACCACAACATGTAACATTCAGTGCATATGACAAGAAGATTGTGTTTGTTTCAAGTTTCAGGAAGAGCAAAATGCTATCAGGCTTGACTGCGACATTCTTCTGGCAGGCAATGCATGCAAGACACCTTGTTGACTTCTGAACACCTATTATGCTGCCATTCTTGACATGGCAGATTCGATCAAGTCACTGTCAACAGTAGCAAGAGGCTGCTCATAGGGTGCGCATGGTGTATATAAGAATGTTTCTTTCATTGGTGTGTTTAAGTAGTGATCCATCCCATATCCTTTTACTCTTATATTTTTGAATTCATAGGTTTGGTTGATCTCCAAACAGCCCACATAGTATTCCCATAGCGCAAGTTTGGCTGATGATGTTGGATCTCTAACAACAACTTCCTGTTTGTGCAAAGTACAGTTTACATCTGAATTGATACGTTTGACACTACTTATTTGGAATACTTCTGCTTTCACTGCGATAAGTTGCTCTTTTGCTACTTTTGGAAGGGAAGACAATGGCATGACAGCATCAACAGCATGTGAGAGGCAATTGGCAATTTCAAAGTCGATCTTCCCAAGTGCAGTTAATTTTGAACGTTTTTAAAGGGCTAGGTCGTCATCTTGCTTGTAGCTTGCCAGCTTTATGTTTTCAGTCTTAACAGGACTTTTCATTTGTGTGTACATGTGTGTACCTCTGACCTCCTTTCTGGTGAAAAGCATACAGCCCTTCTTGGTTTATCCTTATATTGCACTACGAAGTTGAAGTACCGTTTAAGATCTTCTCTCACCTTGTATCAGTAAGCATTTCAACCAGCAACATATCTAGATATCTTTGAAATAAAAGCATTGCTGTTGTTAGATGCAGTCATTGCACATAGTTCATCTATTGTTAAGTGAGCGTCACCAGGATTTTGCTTAAGAAAAATATCACTTTGTTGCAAGGTTCTTTTTCTTCGAATCATGTTGAAAGCCCAATAAGAAAATCTAGGGTGGCTAGAAAACCTATAAACCCATTTTCCAGCAATCGTTTCAGCAAATTTAATGAGATGCTTGACTCGTTCACCTATAGGAATCTCATTTAAAAGTGATGGATTTGTTGGATCCCCTTTATCATCAGGAAATAGTGTAGGAAATGCTAATGTAGCTAGGAAAGGTATCTGATATTCATTGATAGGCTGATTGGTAACAGTGGCCCAGTTCACTGGTTTGTTTGGGCACAATTTATCTTTAATTGCCTCTAAGTCCTGTTGCTGTTGCTCATTGACAGGCATAAAACTACTCATTTCTGAAGTTTGATTGTAAATTGTGTCCTCTTCACCATTATCAGTAGTGGAGCCTAAATCAGGTGATGTTATTTCATTTGACATAATGTTGGTATCAGATTCAACAGTCATGATACCAGATGGAACACCATTGACTGGTAAGACACTGCAATGCATGTTCATTGATAGTTACGTCTCTATAATGAGGATTATTGTGCATAAGCCAGAGCAGTGCATTGTGCACTTTTTGCTTCCGCACATTCACATTCTTGAATGTGTTGTCTCTACCTTTTACCATAATTACAGACAAATCGTTGGCAAAACTGATGCAAGCTCTTTAACATCTTAAGGCATATTGATACAATGGCCCGAGTAACCACTTTGTCCACCTGGTTTGATGTAAAGTCTCATTATTGGCAGTTGTCCAGCTGGTTTGATGTAAACTCTCATTATTGGCAGTGCTCAAGCAATAAGCATTTCTTCTATTTGAGTGAGACCTTGTAGCTCAATAGGTACTGGCCCTGAATCCATGCAATTAGCATAAGAAAACTTTTTTGGTGTATTTTTATCTCTAGCACACCTTGAGTACACATAGTTTAGTTGGACACTTTGGTTTAGTGTTAATTGGTCATGCTTCTTTGCAGATTATGCATTGAAAAATTACATATTGCATATATTTATGAAACTCGTTTATGCTGCATTTTGCCCAACAATGCTCATGTAATGCAACATTTTTCAAGGCATTCAAATTCATTCTGATATCTTCAGTAACATTACTATGTGTTGTTAAGAGCGGTTGTCTGTAATAATCAGGTAAGACGTGTAAAATGAAAAAATCTTTCAAACTTTGTCAGAATGTAGGCCTATATAAAGTATTAATGTTGTGAAAGTTTTATTTCGATCGGATAAATATTGAAGGAGAGAGACGTCGAAATTGGTTTTCCCAGGACACTTTCGATTTTTAGAGGTCATTTTACGGCACTACCAAAATCGCTCTATTTTGCGTGTTAATGGGAATATTTCACAAAAATGATTTCGTTTTATAAATTAGAGATATTTATTGATTAGCAGACGAAATTTAGAGACATTTCTGTAAAAAGTGAATATTTTACAGATTTTCTTAATGTTTTTTATTTTCGAACCTTTTTATTATATGCCATATTAGGCAGCGAATATCTCCATTGTTACATCGATTCAGACAGAAAATTCATAACCAGATCAAAGAAATATGTTTTCCCTTGCTATTAATCAAATAAAATTTTTGGGCAACTTAAAATTGAATTTTTGACGAATTTTTTCGTAACCCCTATTTGACCCGAATAACCGTATGTTATGTAATCAACGTCGAGTCATGTAGTTCAATAAATAACCAAAGAGCTCGTCAAAAGCGTTTACTTCTTCGAGTAAACAAGCCTATGCCTATAAAACTACCTTTGCTAAAGTTGTACGATTGGCAGAAAGCATTTAGGTCTAAATCACACTGTTTACAGTCGCTTATTGTTCAGATAATGCCTGTAGTATATTGTATAGCCGGCGCCGCTGATTTGGCGGTTTGGTTTTAATTATATTTTATCGGGAATATGCCGCGATAAGTATAGCAAGCTAAGTGTATTTTCTCTCCCCTTCCCATAAACATTTGTTCTTTCACGACTCGTCGTGCTTATAACTGTTCGAACATAAATAGTGCACACGCTTTTTGTCAAAAACATCTGTCAGTTTACGTTGTCAGAAATTGTAATCTGTCAGAAATTGTAATTCGTTTACTTACCGTAATTAATTTAATTAATATTAAAGCTGGATTCTTTCACCGTGATGTCATGCCAAAAGGTGTCTTTTCTATTTTTAAAAAAGACCCTCTGTTCATTTATGATTTGCCGGGTAATATTTACTACAGTTGTATGTCTTGTATATTTGATTATTTTGTTCTTGCTCAATAACTTTAGTCATACTTCAAACCAAACTTCTACCCACTGTTACTTATTTAGTAGTTTTAACTGGCCATCACTTCAGTTTAAAACAGCAAGAAGATAAAGACAACATGTACGTGTGAGTTATCCATGAAATAAATAGTTGGTTTACAAAATGAATTCCGTCTTCGTGGATAAAATTAATGAGTTATAAATAATTTCTCCTGTATGTGTTAAGCTACATGTAGGGATTTCCCCCGGTATATTTCTTCTCTTTTGTATGGCTGTTTGTGGTTGCGCGTTATCTGACATATACTTTTGGTCCAATTTCAGTTACAGTTATCCAACCATTTCTGGATGATACATGTAGAACACTCAGGTAGTTCTCAGGCCAAAAAAAGTCAGCTTGAAAGGGGGCCCAACTTTCACAGAGGGGGCCCCGGAATGCTGGAATTGCGCAACGTGTTCTGAAATTGAGGTCGAAAAAGGTCTGGAAAGTATTTTGAACCCCCCATTATCGCATGCAAAAATAATTTTTGGAACGTTTTTCAAAAAAACGTCGCCCCAACCAAACCCCCCTCCTACCCTTTACATTTTACTGTAACATTTTTGCTTACCAGAAAACATTTTGAGGGGGACCCGTAAAAGGAAGGGCCCCGAATTTTTTAAGTTCAATATCCCCTCCCCCCCAACCAGATATCGCTTGGCACGTCCTAGCCTGGCAGTAATACTCTATTTGTAACAGGGATACTCCAAAATGATGATAAGGAATTCAGTCTAATTATATAAATTAATTTTGCGATAATTTGGGGGGGGAGGGGGGTTCAAAATACTTTTCAGACTTTTTTCGACCTCAATTTTCAGAATATTCCTTAATATTTAACACGTTGCAAAATTCCACCATTCCGGGCCACCCTCTGGGAAAGTTGGCCTGCCTTTCTTGACTTTTCTTTGGCCTGAGTACTGCCTGTTGTAAATGTATCATGCAGAAATGGTTGGATAAATTTAATTGAAATTGGATCAAAAGTATATGTCAGATAGAAAATAATGAACTAATCGGCTCGTGCAGGTGGAAGACAAGACTCTGTTCTCAAACTGGAATCCAAGCAAACGTCGTGCGACCCCAGGTGTGCCTTGATTTCTTTTATTACAATCATTCGAAGAACGCATTCTGAATCGGCTGGATTAGAGTTGCTGACACCACATGACCACTCAGTGACAAGAGACGAATAATCACAAACAGCCATACAAAAGAGAAGAAATATACTGGGGGAAATCCCTATAGGCTATACATGCATGTAACATTTAACACATACAGGAGAGATTATTTATAACTAATTTTTATCCACAAAGACGGAATTCATTTTGTAAACCAACTATGTATTTCATGGATAACTCACCCGTACACGTTGTCTTTAGCTTCTTGCCGTTTTAAAAGTGATGGGCAGTTAATTAAACTACTAAATAAGCAACAGCGCAGAAGTTTGGTCTGAAGTTTGACTGTTTTCTCAGAACAAATTCAAACTTATTGAGCACTAACAAAATAATCAAATATACAACTGTAATTAATATTACCAAATCACAAATCAATATATGGAGCCGGGATCTTTTTTAAAGGACTTTTTAACAAATGGAAAAGACACCTTTTGGCATGACATCACGGTGAAAGAATCCAGCTTTAGCCCCCTAATAATTAAAACTCTTTGCGAGGTCGTCCTCGAGCCGGTTGACGCGGCTAGAAATTTCATATCTTCGGATCAGTACATGCTATGCCTATGAAGACAGAAATACCACCATTCGATTCAGAAATAAAAGATCAACTAATTCCAAACGATAGTTATAGTCATTATTAACATTGTAGCGATTTATGGGAGTTTGAAAGTCAAATGCGATCGTATACTATCAAATTACTTCGAGCCTCGAGCTCACATGCAGCCGGAGAAGAAATGGAAATACCGTGATAAAAGATGAAAATTTGAAGATACAGGCTTGCAAATAACACTCTAAATAGTGTTTTTGATGGGGATTCGAACGAGACTATTACAAAGACGATATATTTGAAGGGGTCGAAGTTATTTTCGGCGAAAGGTATGGCTAGTCTATATTTTTGTTCAGACAATCGCGTGAGCTACCCAACCGGAAATACGACTAAAAAAACGTCAAAACAATGCGACGTTTGCATCGTATGACCTTGCAAATGGCCTATGTTTTTTTACAAAAAGCGTGTGCACTATTTATGTGAGAACACAAGTTTATGGGAGGGGGAGAGAAAATATACTCGCTATACTTATCGCGGCATATCCCTGATAAAATATAATTGAAACCAAATCTGCCAAATCAGCGGCACCAGCTATCGGGCATTACCTGAACAAGAAGCGACTGTAAACAGTGTCATTTAGACCTAAATGCTTTCAGCCAATCGTACAGCTTTAGCAAAGGTAGTTTTATAGGCCTAGGCTTGTTTACTTGAAGAAATAAACGCTTTTGACGAGCTCTTTGGTTATTTATTGAACTACATGACTCAACGCTGATTATATTAACATACGGTTATTCCGGTCAAATAGGGGTTACGAAAAAATTCATCAAAAATTCAATTCTAAGTTGCCCACAAATTTTATTTGATCAATAGCAAGGGACAACATATTTCTTTGATCTGGTTATGAATTTTTTGTCTGAATCGATGTAACAATGGAGATATTCGCTGCCTAATATGGCATATAATAAAGAGGTTCGAAAATAAAAAAACATTAAGAAAATCTGTAAAATATTCACTTTTTACAGAAATGTCTCTAAATTTCGTCTGCTAATCAATAAATATCTCTAATTTATAAAACGAAACCATGTTTTGTGAAATATTCCCATTAACGCGCAAAATAGAGCGATTTTGGTAGTGTTGTAAAATGACCTCTAAAAATCGAAAGTGGCCTGGGAAAACCAATTTCGACGTCTCTCTCCTTCAATATTTATCCGATCGAAATAAAACTTTCACAACATTAATACTTCATATAGGCCTATATTCTGACAAAGTTTGAACGAGTTTGAATTTTCTCATTTTACACGTCTTACCTGACTATTACAGACAACCGCTCTTAATTACTCGCAAATACTTTCTATGTTTCATGAATTCATTGCATCGATTACCAGTTTACCACTACTTTCAATCAAATAGGAACACACACTTGATCGATGCGAATTGTCAGTAACTGTTCTTTCTGTAGGTATTTCAATGTCAGGGTTACCACAGCATATATTAGTTACATGGACATCATTCACCAACGTGAGAAATTCCTCTCTAGTTTGGATATTTTGATAACATTCGAATTTTTCAGATCCTGGGGTATCAAACCGTGTAATGGCTTTACCGAGAATCATGAATGACCATGAACAATCGTTGAGCAATGTTAAAGATTTTGTTACAATTGGTTCCTTTGTGGGATCTTCTTTTCTCTCATGCAAGTAAACAACTTTAATGAAATCATTATTTTCTGTCATTGTCCATCCAAAAGGAAGACCATCATTTGTTTGCTTAATACATTCTGTGTTAATGTGGCAGTTGATTTGCTATCTACTTCTGACTGTATTGTGGCGAGTGGTTGTTGGTGTCTACAATTCTTCTGATTGAATGAGTTGGTGCTATCCACATTCCTTGTTTCTCACTGCCATTGGAGTGGATAATGGTTTATTTTGCGATTTGTTATTATTTGTATTTGTAAATTTCTTCGACTTGAAATGACCCAAACTGCCCTATAAGAAGACCAACGTTGATCATTCAACAGTTAACTGCATTTATCTAAAAATGTTACATTTCATTTAGACACGAGTGGAATGGGACACGGTGTCACAGTAAGTTGCTGAATTGAGCGAAAAGAAAAACTTCAAATGTTCGAGTAGCCCATTTGTTTTCGACACTTGCACAACTGCCATGCTATAAAAATCCATTCTGTTGCGAGAAAATGCAATGCGATGCCCTTGTGGGTATGCCAACCACCAACTATATTTGTACGTGTTTTTACCTGCACCATTGAAAAATAATGCATGTCAATCGTGCTGTTACTCATGGCTATATAAAAGTATAGACCATAACTACAATAAATTTTTTTACAGGAGCATTTTTGGTGTATTTTCGGGGTATAGATATTGTAATTAGAGGTTTAAGCAAAGTGTCCCAATTTCAAGACAAGATGGACGAATTTAAATCCTTTTCCAACATTGATGAACATGCAAATTCTCCAGACGTAATCATATGATTACACTTGTCATATACCGGGATACGCTTAGCTTACGCATGTGCTATGTGACTTCAACGGCTTGTTGCTTCGACCGGTACTTGTCTGCTGTTTTACATGCAGCTCTTTATACTAGAAGATTGTTTAAACAATCTGTAGCGAAAAGGGAGTTAGGTATCACATTGTGTATAAAGTTTATAAAACCGGATCTGCTTATCCAGAGACAAGTGCAAAGAATTTTCGAGCTTGTTCAAAAATTTTGATTTCCAATTTGGGGTGGACTTTCAGGCACGATTCAGGTTTGTATGTGTATTTTAGTTTTTTTAATTAAGTTTACGTATATTTATTCAGTTTTGCATGACTGCAATTACGTTATATAAATTGATTGAAACCTTTTCGAAGTTTTCCTTGTTCTGTAAATTTGAATTTGGCGATTTCCAAAACACCTTCCATTTTATTGAGAACAAATCGTTTCGTTTTTGAAAACCCTTTTTGGTAAGGCATCTATTATTAAAAAGAAATAAAAATGTTTCAGTTTATATTTTTAGCGATGAATTTTTGTATGTTTTACCCAAAAGAGCTTTCAAACAGTGTTTTCAATAGTTTTTCACTAATTTTGTTAAGTATTCAGAACTTTTGACAATGCAGACAAGAATGCCAATGGCAATGGCGATTTTTTCAGTCAAAAACATTATGCAATCATTAAAAGGTGGCTTTTGGCTCTGTTTGACCCAATATAAGTTTACAAATCGGATAAATAAATGCATCCACAGGTCTATATTTGCTATAAATATGTGCAATACAAACCCTGAACTTTATTTAAACTATACTTCCAGGGTTCGAAGTACTATAACAAATAATATGCAAGCATTCAAAGGAGGTTTTTGGCTTTGTTTGACTCAATATAAGTTGAAAAACCATATAAGTGCATCCACATGTCTATTTTTGTTCAAAATATGTAAATTACTAACCCTGAACTTTATTTAAACTATAGTTACAGGGTTCGAATTGGGGACAACAGAAATGGCCATCTTCTAGTTGGCGCAAAAATAGCAGCGTAAAAAAGGCTTGTTTTCACCAAATTGGCGAATCACATAGATTTTTTGATCCGCTAAAAGCACTAACAGTGCATTTAAGATGATAAATGTATGATGTAGCAGATGAGTGATAGCTTTATCTTCAAGCTCCAGGGTTCGAAGTGAGTACCTTGACAACAACAATGGCGACTTTTTTACAGTCAAAAACATTATGCAAGCATTCAAAGGAGGTTTTTGGCTTTGTTTGACCCAATATAAGTTTAAAAACCGGATAAGTGTATCCACTGATATATTTTTGTTCAAAATATATAAATTATAAACCCTGAACTTTATTTAAAATATAGTTAAGGGTTCAAAGTGGGGACAACAGAAATGGCCATCTTCTAGTTGGCGCAAAAGTAGCAGCGTGAAAAAGGCTTGTTATTACCAAATTGGTGAATCGCAGAGATTTTTTGATCCACTAAAAGCACTAACAGTGCATTTAAGATGATAAATGTATGATGTAGCAGACAAGTGATAGCTTTATCTTCAAGTTCCAGGGTTTGAAAGATATGTACTCTCGTACAGATTTTTTTGTGCGCCATTTCGATGTAAAGGTTCTGGCAAAACTTAAAATTTGATTACTATTCATCATCAAGATAACAAATTAAATCATACATACCTTGACGTATATATTCTTTTTACACCGATGTAAAAAAAAATCAAAATTCGGAAAGTACAAAACAGCAAAAAAAACACAAATATATAAAACAAGATTTACAGGGTTTTTTGTTCAGATTAAGGTGGGTTGCCGGGGCAACGGATAATTGCTATGTGATTTAGCCACATCATGGATGTCGCGCCAGCATCATTGCTTTTGCTACAGCGTTTCCAGTTGCTCTCTTCTGGATTGTCTACGATCAAACCAAGCAGAAGCTAGCCAAAGTTCGAATCGAACTGTCAAGCGTCTTTCTGGGTTAATTGCGGGTACCATTACGCGTAGAACGTGCATGATCTATGGATGTTTTCGTTCATATCTTCGATTCAATAAACGCTATGTCGTTGAAAATACCACCATTCGATTCAGTGTAAAAATATGTACTTATTCGTAACAATAGTTTCAGTCAATGGCAACATTATAGTGATTTATGAGCTTTGAAAGTCAAGCGAGCTCGTATATATGATCAAATTACGCAATATTACTAACAAATTATAAACATAAACATACCTTTCGCCGAACATAACTTCGGCCCTTTGAGATGTATGCTCATTGTGACACTCTTGTTCGATTAACCATTCGAAATGCTGTATACTGTGTTATTTCAAACTTCTATCTGTAAATTCTAGCCATTTATTACCAGATTTACATTTCTGGTCCGAGTTTGATTTTATCCAAACCGGAAATACGACTTAAAAGTGTCGAAACAATCCGATGTTTGTATCGTATGACTCTGCAAAGGTCAGAAATGGATTCTACAGGTCAAATTGCACCTATACATGTGAGTTTGACGTCATCCCGGCTAAAGGAGCTCCTTATTGGCCATGTATTATGCAATACACACATGTGCGAGTAAAACCTGATATCCTTGAAAAATTCAAAATAAATATTTCTATTTGCTGTATTCATACGAAACTTTCCACATGAAAGGGCTTGAATACAAAGAATCTTTTACTCATATAGGTTTTTAGAAAATGACAAAAAGTTTAGAAAATATTCAACTTTTTCTCGATATGTCGAACAGAATGTTTGGTCAAGAGGTGAGTATAAATGTATGATTGTTTTGGTTTGTGTAATGTTATGACGGCACTTGACCCCCGTTCGAAAGGTTATTTCGAGAGGATTTCAATGGTGCGTTTTGTTTTAAAGGGGGGTAAATACTCGCCCAGATATTTACATTAGAAACATTGACTCGTAATGTAATGCAAAACCTGCTGTCGTCAAGGGCAGCTGAGAAAGAGTTAAGGAACACATAATTCATGTACGCTGGTATCACTATGACAAAACAAGTGGAAAGTACCTGCCTGTTCGACAAAAAATGTGGTGGTGGTAATCGTTTTGTTGAATATCTTTCTTCTAATCCGCCAACTTTAGAAGACATTTTAAATAGAGCAAGCAAGTTATATTGTTCTTGGGTATTACAGATAGTTCTGGGGAAGTAATTGTTGCCTTCCCTGAGGCAGGAACTGTCAATGATTATTTGAATGCAAATGGAATGTATCCATCAACCACATACTTTTGTCTGAGAACTGAAGTCGATGACGACAATGATATGCCTTCCCCATCATTGCATTTGGATGAAAGTGGATCAGGGACTGTTGATTCATTCCTAGACCAAGTAGCTGTTGAACTTCCATTCCCATGATTTTTTGAGGATGATGTAATAAATTATGAACCACCCAACACAGTAGTCACGAGTGACATGTGAAGTGTGTTTCACAATGCATGAGTTGGGTCAACCTTGTCTTCGCTGTCTACAAAATAAAGAGCACACACAGTCTTTGCTTGCTGACCAGAAATTTGACGAAGGTAGCACTGGACCAGAGGCTGTGCAGTCAGACAGAGTTGTTGATTTGGTCCAAATACAAGGACAAAGAGTTGCTTATCTCACTGGGGCAATACAAAATATTGCAGCTGAATCTCTTGATCATGAATCCGGGCCTGGTGCCTCTTCAGATCAAAACCCCCAAGAAATTCCTCCGACACAGTCTGAAGACCACAAAGTGTTAAAGGTACATCGACTGTTTATTCAACAAGACATGTTCAGACATTTTAAAGATGACTCCTGCTTGGGCATTCAGCTTATTTTTACCATTGTAAATGACATGGGGAAAGCAGAGCTTGGAGCAGGTTAAGGGGTAACCAGAGAAGTGTTTACTTTGTTTTGCAAACACTTTGCAAATGCAATGACAGTGGGGTAGAGAGAACGTGTCCCTTTTGTTAGACACAATCACTTTATTGATGAGTGGAAAGCATTTGCGAGGATCCTTGTAAAGGGATATGAAACTATTTCCTATTCTTCATTTCAAAAGCCTTCATGTCTTACTGCTTGTTTGGAATAGAAGTTCCTGCTCCCACTATTCCAGAGTCATTTATAAAATACCTGTCACCTTCAGAAGAAGAGTTGGCTAGAGATTACATGACAAGAGATTAATTTCCTGATAATGTTGAGGATCAAGAAGAATTTTTTGATTTCCTGGAAAGATTCAAGTGCCGAGCTGTGGTAAAGAAGGAAAACATTACCACCATAATGATCGAGATTGGTCAACAGGAGTTGATGCAGAAACCCCATCTGATGGTGGCAACATGGCAGCCAGTCCTGCAAACACTAAAGAAATATCCACCCTTCCAAACCTTGTCTGCTCTTGAAGTCTCTTATGAAGACACAAAACCCACAACAAAGAAGATCTTACAGCTGTTAGATGCAAATCCAAATTCAGACACTGAGAGAGATGCATTTCGATTTTTACAGCGATATATCAGAGGCTTGGACAACAGTCAACCTTTACAATTTCTTAGGTTCACTACTTCACTTAGCTTCTGATATTTTGATCAGTGGCAAAGTTCAGGTTACATTCCTGAGGTCTGAATGTTTTGGTAGAAGACCAATTGCACATATGTGTGGACCTGTGTTGGAACTGCCGTCAACCTACAGCAATTATTGTGAATTTAGAGAGGAATTCAATACCATTCTTGATCAAAGGTAACTGGGAGATTGGCATTGTGTGACATTTACATTGTTAGAAGGTGTTCAATTTAACATTGCTGGTGAACTTTTTTTAAAGAGTTGTTTTTTTGTTAAGAAGTAGTTTAAATAGGTCAATTTCTAATTGCTTTTAAAGTTCATGCACATCATTTTGGTTACTTAAAATAAGTCTAATGTGAAAGTTTCAAGTACTAGTGAAAACATGAGCAGCCGATCTTTATTAGCCTAATCTTTATCTGATATACAAAGCCAAAGGTGAGAGTTTGTATATCAGATAAAGATCGGCTGCAAATGTTTTAACATGCTTAAAAACGACCCATCTTATCAGTTCATTGTCGAAATAATTTTAAAAATAAACATTGTCTAAGCCGAGAAAATCAAAGCTGAAGGTTATGTAAATCAGGACAAATCATCAAAACCTTTTTCCAAACCAGAAGTTTGCAAAGAACTTGTGAGACATTTAGGGGATGTTCCCTGACTGGCAACTGCCTGCACTTAAAACAATTTGGGCGAATGTGAGAAAGTTTTTCCAACACGGCACAACCTTAAATCAAAACAAGGGAAATTCAGGCAGAAGGTCGCACTGAGGCAGCATTGAAGCCAACATTGAGGCAGCAAGAGAGCAACTGGCTGAGCATCCCACAGGTACCAGCGCAAGACGGTATGGTGTGGGCCTACCATCTGCTACTTTTAATAGGATAACAAGGCTAGATCTAAACATGCACCCTTACCGCATGCACATCTGTCACCAACTCCTTCCTCAAGACTATGCTCGGCGAATGCAGTTTGTGCAATGGCTGGGTGACCATTACGAGAGAAACAAGGATTTCCTTTGACCATTCGTTATTGGAGATGAAGCTGCATTTGCCATGAACGGCCAAGTAAACACCCACAACATTAGAGAGTATGCAGTCGCAGGACAACCGCCCGAGTTCAACTATGAGGTCAACATCAATTGAGAAAAATTGACGGTTTGGATTGGGCTTTGTGGCAGCAGCCACATAATTGGTCCATTTTTCTTTGAAAGAAATGTCACTCGACAAATTTATCTCCAAATGATAAACAACGACGTTGTGCCACAACTTCAGCTACATTTTCAGATTCAAATTGAGGGGATTCAGAAATCTCTGGTGGGTGCAAGACGGTGCTCCAGCACATTGTTTAATTGCGGTCTGTGATCGGTTAAGAGAACTGTTTGGTCATCGTGTGGATTGCCCTCTATCATGATGTGGAATGGCCCCCAAGATCCCCTGACCTTACTCCTTGCAATTTCTTTCTTTGGGGTTAGCTAAAGAATAAAGTGTAAACAAACCCCGCTACATGATCTGAATGATTTGCAGAACCGCATTCAACATGAAGTTGAAGCTTTGAGAAATAATCCCGCGCTAATCAGAAGAACATTCCAAGCAATGTGGCGGCGATGTCATCTTTGTATCGATAGAGATGGTGGTCATGTTGAAGGCATCGGTGCATAAACTCTTTAAAGTTTAAATGTAAATTAAAGTTTAAATGTAAATAATTTTCAATAAATATGTTGTAAAACCAGATGCAAGCTGACATGTTTGTGATTAATTGTTTTTTCTTTTGTTATGCATTAATTTATATTAGTTTAACCATTCAATCTCTTCTAATAGTAGAATGTACAAGTTTAAAGCTGAGATTGCAAGCCCATGTCCATTCATCACCACATCAAGCAAACTCTCTAAATTCTTCACTGGTATCTTGCACAACCATAGCTGCATGGTTGTCAAACTCATCGATATCTTGCCTGTCTACCTCCACTTTATAATCTTCTGTTTCATAAAGATGAGGTAAGAAATACATGTTGTCAGGTCTTCCTCTCGGACCATTATTAAATTTGCTTGACAAAGTTATGTGTTGGTTCCAGGACTAAGCAACTTGATTAAGTTCTTCTCATAGAACACTCATGAAACAAAATTGTATACAGTCTACTTGTACCGGATCAGCATTGTTAAATAATCCCAGATCTCGCTGCTCTTTAAAGAAGTTTTGTCACCAACCAGGACCTTCTTTCACTAGATGCAACCAGGCGTGTAGCCAGCCCCATACGAATGGGGGGGGGGTCTAAAGTGTCAAAGACATAAAAGTACTGTTCTAAAAAGCCCCAGAAAATTTTTCAAGTTTTAGGTTAGAGAAATGCTCCCACATGCATATTTGGCATGGTGTTTTGGTGATCTATATGCCACACATTTGGTCTATTTTATGCCAAAGATGAAATATTTACGAGATTAACAAAGCATATTTGTAATAAACTAATAACATAACATAACATGTCAAATTAATAATAGATAAAGAAAGTTTTATGAACTTGTTATTAAGTTGATAAATGCTTTAATGCATTTTAAAATAACTTTCCTTTTAAAACGATACACATATTATGCAACATTTACACGAACACGGGAATCTAATTTATGTTCCATTTTCATATAACTTTGCATCTAACTTTCAGATTACAAGAATATATTATAGTGGAAGTTTTCTATATAGGCTTCAAAGAGAATGCAACTTAATATCTTCGGCTACATCTCTTTCGCTACTAGCAAGAACCAAGCTCTCCAGTCGATCTTCACCCATGGTTGCTCTCATGTAATTGTTGATGATTTTAACTGTGCTGTGGCATCTTTCGCTAGAAGCTATTGTAGCTGGAGTTGTGGACGCAATACAAATGATTCTGCGAAGGTTTCGGTAAAGGCCAGCGTAATCACTTTCACCAAACTTCTTAATATTAATGGAAGGTAAGGGTTTTTCCACCCCTGTTTCTTGTGTTCTTCCATCTCCTGCAACAAACTGCGAAAGCATCCGGACTCCCAGAACAAGGAATATTCCCGACAGTTTGCTTTCTCTGGGATTTTGTACCTTCTTGCCTTTTCTATATTAATTATTACCTCTGCACCTTTTCTATATTAATTATCATTACTCCAATGAGCTGGATTGAGAATTGCACCAATACTTCACAAGATTTTAATGAAAATCGCCTCTTTAGCTCCCTCCGCAGCAAATCAAGCAGACAATAGTAAAAATCAGTGCGAAATTTACTTTCTGCTGACACTGTTGTGCTGTTTTGAGTTGTAGACACAACAGGGTGACTTAATGATGCATCAAGCAATGTTTGTCCATCAGCTAGACTTGGAAGCATTCTACGTCATTTGTTGCTGGGATCTCTAAACAAATCTTCAACGTGAAATTCGACTGCTTTGAATTCAGCAGTGTGCACAAACTCGACAAATTTTTCCTCATTCCGGAAAGAAAAAAATTTAGCGATTAGCGAAGTTGCCATGTCAACAGTGGTTACTAAGTCCATTTCTTCTCTTTGAAGATATTCTGAAGCGTTGCATCAAACTAAACTGTACATACAACATACTGGATAGCCTGTGAACGCAAATACGCAATTATTTCAATTTAATGACGACAGTTGATTTCTTTAAAAATATTCACAACTTGCACCCCCACCACTAGTTTCTTCTCACTTTTGAATGAATTACAATATTGACCTTTACAAAAAGTAGGGGGTCCGGAACCCCCCCCCCCATTGGCTACGTGCCTGGATGCGACCAGTATGCTTCAATACGCTGATTAGATGTAGATGACCCAATAAGAAAGCTGGCAAGCCCAGCGTGTTCATCATTGTCACTTGAACGAAGGAATGTGTGTATAGCTTCAATCACACAATTTTCTGTTCCATCATCAGATCTTATTTTCCTAAGGACCCACCAACTTGTCTGATTGAGTCTAGATAATATTTGGCAACTAACTCCTTGTTTGTTGGTCGTACTTCCAACCAAATTAGCCTTCTTGAGTAACCATCAATGTAGCCATGAATTGCTGAACCCATATGGCTTCAGTTTGTCATGACTGTCTATGTGCCATATAAAATTTGGGCCATTACATGCATACACTCTTTTGCGTAGCCTTTTTTCCCCGAGTTTCCACACCAACTGGATGGAGATCCACTAATAATATTCTTACTGTTTCCCGCTTCACTATAAGCCCTTTGTGTATCAATCTCCACCGCATTTTTTGAAAACCAATAAAACAGCCACTACCTGCCAGTTCTTCTTCAATAGTTCTTCTTCGTAGTAGGTCTTCATCTACGAAGGTGTATCGATGCCAATATCCGCTTTAGTGTTGATAAACTAATATCAATGCCATGAAGTCTTAAATACTCCAATATTCCTGGATTTGTGTATCCTTGGTTGAAATATGTTTTTATAAGTTCCTCTTCTTCATATTGATTTCCCAAGTTCATGCAAGGTGTATAATTTGTTAACAGCATGTTTATATGAGATTAATAACTAATAAGTAGTATGTTCTTAGTACGTTGTCGTTGTCTTTTTGAAAAGATCTTTTAAAACTTGTCCTTGAATTGATAGCCTGTTCGATAATGGCGGGAATTTGAAAACGAAGCAAATTATCAAAAGGAACTATAGGCACTAGAAAGAAGTTTTCTGGACTGTGTTAAAAAAATGTACTGGCCTGTCAAGAAATTTTACAGGACTACCAAAAGACTTCACTGGACTGTGAGAAGCTTTACACGACTGCAAGAAAATGTAACAGGACTGTGAGCCTTCTGGGCCATCGTAGAAATATATATTATTTCTTTGGTATTGTAGTGTGGCTCAAAAGCTACTTAATGCTTTACATATCTATATGCCATTTACAACAGAGGAAAGTCTGTGTCATAACAGTCAACAGATGACCCCCCCCCCCTGACCAGTACCACAGTATAGTTTTACAGGATATTCACCCGGTTTAATATTCAGTTAAATGAATAGAATTTGAGTCAAGCATGTCCTGTGACCTGTGCAAAGATTATCCAGTTTACAGACAACCCGGTTTATCAGACTAACCAAGTGGATCACACACTGAATACATGGCCAGGTCATGGAGTGGATCACAGGACACTGAATACAGGACCTCCAAAAAATCTCAGCATGCTAAAATAAGATCCCTACAAGTAATAATTATTGCTTGCTCAACTAAAAGGTGATCAATTTGTCATGTTAAATAGATTTCTGGATCAAAGTAAAGATACCCAAGGTCATCTATGTATCACTTCATCAGATTAGTACACCCCACTTACTAATAACGAGTGTATGTTCAAGCTGAGGGTCTGCTCCAAGTGCAAGTTGCCTCTTATTGGCAATGATTAATTGTTCAAACAAGTACTGCATGTGTCTGCCTGCAATGTTGTAGCTGTGTGACAACAGCTATGTGTAGCTAAAACATCAATCTTTTGGTGTTAAATATCTTTACAAACAACTTAACATATGTTAGGTAAACACATATTCTTCCAATCCAACAAAAAGGTTCAGCTAAACGAAGGTATATAAAAATACTATAAACCTAAATTTCATGTTGTGATCAGCAATTAAATATTAACTGATCAAGCAGTTCACTACTTCTTGAGATCTTGAGAAATTTTTACAAAATTATGATAAAATATGCATATGAAATCAAGAGAACACATTCACTATTAAATATTCTTGATATAACTAGAGACAATTTATTCAGATTGATGATATCCAGGCTTAGAAATTTGTTCAAACAGATGTGAGTTTTCGGACTGAAAAATTCGAACAAAATCATGACAAAAGTTGTCTATCTGACAAAGCAAAAAATGGCTTTTATAAATTCATACAATCCAAATAAACTAGCAATCCAGTACAAAAAAACTATCAGTAATACCGTAAACTCGGGTGACTTTGAATGTAGGGTGACTTTGGTCACTTTATAATTTTTTCATTTAATGCCCGATGTATTTGTTTTGAGAAACTTCAATTGTAAATATTTGTTCTTTTTTTAAAGCATGACTTGTTTTCGACTTATTTTAAATGTTATTGTTAGCATTCTTACAATATATCCACAGTACGTGATCTACAAACACAATCAGTTCAATCGACTAGGGATACCCTAATTGAAACTCTGAATTTCAATCTTGAATAAATCAATTTGAATAATTTTAAATATACCAGAAATATAGAATGTAAATTGAATTAAATATAAATAAATGCTGTTCGGCAGTCACTTTGTTGTTCAGCGAGAAAAGTAGGTGGTCAAAGTCACCCCACAAATTTTGTACCTTTTGGGGTGAATTTGACCACATAAAAGTATTTTTAATTACTGGCAGCCGCCATATTCAAATTTCCCATGATGCATTTGGTAAAAGCATGTGTTTGACTCTACCTCTTTTTGAAAAAACTGCCTGGAAGGTTGACATGGAGAAAAAGCAAGGTATGAACATAATAATTTCAGGTACTTGTAATTATAGATTTCGCTATAGTTATTTCTTATCAACAATAAATATGAAAGACTGTTTTTTTGTATGTTTAAATCATTTTGGCACCGTTTGGTATGCTTTTTTGAGTTTCTTTGTTGTTGAAAATGTGTTTTTTTTAAAGTGGTCAATTTCACCCCACAGTTTCTCAGCAGTTTTTACTTGTGTGGTGACTTTGACCACCTAAGTTAAATCCAACTTTAAGAACAAAGATACTCTCTATATTGTTTCATGTGAAGTTAACTTTTACTTTTATTGTGTTCTTCAGTAATTTTAGCTAGAACTTCTATTTTAGATGCCTCGAAAATATATTCCAAGGCAAAGAGGTAAACGAACGTATCAAGCATATTCTGCTCAAGATCTGGGAACTTGTTTAGAAGATGTCACTAGTGGAAAACTAGATCTTTGTTGTTTCCTGAGTAATGGCCATGTGCAAATGGGGGTTCCCCTTGGACAAGATTGATTTACGAATGATGGTAGCTGCATATCTTACCAAGCAAAAGAGGGTCATACATCAATTCAAGAATAATATACCAGGAGACGACTGGGCTAGTAACTTCATGAAAAGATGGAAACTGACGCATAGAGTTGCAACAAACATAAGAACTTGAAACCTATTTCAACAACATCAAGAAGGAGGTGGAACGAGTTCCTGCAACAAACATTTGGAACTACGATGAAACTAATCTTAGGGATGACCCTGGAGGCAAGAAGGCTGTAATGAAAAGAGGAACTAAATACCCGGAAAGAGTGATGGACAGTAGTAAATTGTGCTATTCGACAATGTTTTGTGGAAATGCAGAAGATATGATTCCACCATACACTGTATATAAATCAGTGCATCTATGATACTTGCATAAGAGGAGGACCTAAAGACGCCCATTATAACAGAACTCGCAGTGGCTGGTTTGACGAGGTTACATTTGAAAATTGGTTTTTCACCCTTGTTCTTCCCAAATTGAGGAAGCAAGATGGGAAAAAGGTTCTCATAGGAGACAACTTGTCATCCCATCTCAACACAAGTGTCATTGAATCATGTAACAAGCACAACATCGCATTTATATGCCTATTTCCTAATGGTACAATCTATTGCAGCCACTGGATGTGGCTTACTTTGCTCCACTGAAGAAAGCATGGAGAGCATTACTGTTTGATTGGAGAAAAACAGCTATTGGATGTCAATATGGCACTTTACCAAAAGAACAGTTTGTAGGGCTGCTGAGAAAGCTAATTGAGAAGTTAAGCGAAGGCAATAGCAAGCAGAATTTGGTTAACTGCTTTAAGGCTTGCAGAATTCACCCATTCAACCCAGAGGAGGTTTATCGCAAACTGCCAAGTGAAAACAACACGAGTCCTAGTAAAGCACTTGATCAAAGTCTATTGGACACACTTGCCAATATGCAAGGTGAAGATGCAGAGACATGTCCAACCAGGCAAGTCCATATCAGAAAACCTTTCCTCTGAAAGTGATGAATCTGATGAAGAAAGTGAAGAGGACTGCAAAACAGAAGAAGAATCTGAGTCCCAGCCTGAAACAGATGAAGAAACCCAGTCGGAGGGCGAGTCTGATACTGATACTCCAACCAAGTCAATTTTGCAAAAGGAAAAGTTATTACAAACATTGTCGGAGGTGAACAAGTCACTGGATGATTACAAGAAAGGTCGCCTGTATGCTGTGTACTATGGTCAAAAATATTATTGGGGCAAGATGCAACTATGTTTTGCCGATGATCCAGATGAAGATGTCAAATGTGTCGAATTTAGTTTTTTGCGCTACCGAGGAGATGGTTACTGGGATTTTCCAAAAACGGATGTAGAGATCGTGGAAGCAAAGTATGTTTTCTATGGTCCATGTACCCCTGAAACAACGATTGCAGGGAAAGGCTATGATGTCGATGATGAAGTTGCCCAGGGCTGGTACAAACTGATGAAACAGCATGACATTTATGGCAGTATATAACATTTATTTGGAAACGTATTAATGTTCTCTCAGTTTGCCATTTTTAAGAAATGACTTACATTTTAGACTGTGTAACTGTTGCAGAGAGAGAGAGAGAGAGTTGTGCATGTTTGCAAATTATGGCAATTTATATGTGTTAAACAGTTTTAACGTTTTTATCCTTACAAGCCAATAGATATTATTGCTTATAAATGTTTGTAAATTGGATTTTATTGATGGAAAAGTACAAATTACTCTTTTCTTTGACGCGAAGGTTATAAATTTGGTAATACATGCTTATGGTGGGGTTAAAGTAAGGGGTTACTGAGAGGTGGTCAAAGTGTCCCCAGGCCTGTGTGTCTTTGACCATCACAACACAATGTCACTACTGCAACAGACAAGAAAATACTTCTTATTACTGTATTGACCAACAATCACTTACACAATACAACTGTTTTTCACATATTTTTCAAACTACAAAATCAGTGACGCATATACAATGTGTTAGAAAATGTAACTGACGAGTTTTCTTAGCCATTATTGCACAAAACTTCATGAAATTTAATCTTTTTGTAGTTTAAAGTTCCTTAGTTGTTTCCCTGCAGACAAAAGTTATCAATGGATGTGAAAAGTTGTTAAAATCCGTCATTGTATCATTTCGTTCGAAAGCAACCTACAGCCTCCTACCTTCATGTTTAGCGGCCATCGCTATTATGCAAGTGGTCATTTACTGCCCACCACGTGAAACCTGCCAGTATGGTTAGTCTGTAGCTTGGTTTGATTTATTTTTTGCCCAGCCGCCTGACATAATAGTGACTGTTGAAAAACTTGAGTTTTGAACATTTCTGACCTGTTTCAATTCTATATGAAATACATTCTTGTCCATGATTCTGTATATCGACATTTTGGATTATAATATAAATTATATTTTAAAAGTTACCTCATTCTTAATGGCAAGAAACTGATTTTTCAGCATGAAGTGTTCCAACCTGCTCATCACCTCATGAACGTCCACGCCAAGATAAAAAGCTAGGCATTGGTAGAAACAATGATTTTTCCTGCCGAAGGATCGCAAAACCATGTCAAGCTTATAAGCTTTGTTTATAACACTTCCAGCTTCAACAGTACTCATCTTGACAGAAAAAGCAAACAAAACACATTGCAAGTAAAACAGGATGCTGCATTTATATAGCAAAACAATTCTAAATTAACAAAAAAATTGTAACTGCAAACTATATGTGGTAGTTACTTTTCTTACCTTTAATAGCGAAATAACTTGCCGGTTGAAAGACTTGAAACAGAGTTGAAAAATGAATCAATAACAAGCAAAGACAAATCTGTCGAACAAATCACGACACATAAATCACATGAAGTTGTAAACAAATGCAGATGATTGCCACATGTGCGTAAAAATGTACAACTTATAACAAACCTGCAGTAGACTTGTATCAAATTGATGCAAGTCTACTTTAGTCTACTGCAGGTTTGTTACAAGTTGTGCATTGTAGTATTGATACAAGTTCTACTGCAGGTTTGTTTATAAGTTTGTTACAAGTCTGTTAAGTTCAACAACCTTGTAGTACCAAGCTGGGAACAAGCAATGCAAACACATCCTGATAACAAGTTGTTGAAACGGCATTGATACTACATATCATTGCCATTTCAACAACTTGTTGACAAGCTTACTACAAGGCTGTTGTGAACACATCTTGTTGACAAGATGTGAGATTTTTAAAAAATATTAAATAATTATTTTTTTATTTTGTTTGATGAAAATGGAATATTCTGTATTCAAAGTGGAAGAGAAGAAAGATGGCCGCTGAAATTTGTTTGGCATGGGCAGGTAGGTTTATATAAATCTTGGCAATGTTTTTGCACAATGTGTGCATTTTCGCTTTTCAAGAATATGCAAATATTTTAGAAACATCCATATTAAATAAGGGGATATTGGGAAACTTCCAGCCACCGTCCACTCCCGGACTCACCTCCCTGCAAGTATGTTTGTTCAATATAACGCCGCCTACTAGGACTGAGTACCCATAGGGATAGAATGATCTTGCAAATCGTGCATCTGGTTTAAAAGCTACATTTGCCTGAATAGTCTCCATAATCCTGAAAACATCCTGATTTATCAGACTTAGATAATCTTTAACTCATTCTCGACATGCGACCTTTTTACGACAAGCAACATTTTGATTCAATTGTTTTATAACATAAATATTTCAGCGTTTATTCACCCCTCTTTAAAACAAAGAACACCATTGAAATCCTAACAAAATAACCTTTTCCATCGGGGGGTTCAATGTCGTCAAAACAAATACACAAACCGAAACAATCATATATTTACTCACCGCTTGGCCAAACATTCTGTATTTTGATGTGGAGAAAAAGTTGAAGATCTTCTAAACTCTTCAGAATTTGCCACAGAAAGGTATGGATAGTTTACATTGTTCGAGACAATTGATTAGTATAATGAAATATGACACTGCATGACCTCCCAAAAGGTCATAAATAGAAATACAATTTCACTAAAACTATATTTGACTAAAACATAGCATGCACCAAACCGAAGATATGAATCGGCGAAGTCATAGACCATGCACGTTCTACGTTTATAGGGGCCTGCTGAGAAAGAGTGAATTATTTGTAGATTTAAACGAACTATGCTTTGGTCAAAATTTTAGTCAAAAATCTGTTGCGAAAAGCGACTGTGTATTACTATAAAAAAATAAGTTTAGTGCGACGAGAAGAGAACAGCTGATGTTTCATGCAAAAAATCTGCCCTGGAAAGAATGCCTATAGCGATATATACATTTGAGCATATGTTTTGCTAGTCTTGTTAAAGATAAAAGAAAGGGATAAATGCCATATTTTCAACGCCAACTCCACTCTTACTTATTTGGCATGGTGGCCATGTTTATTTTGTTTTGATTCAGTATGTGATGGTGTGACTGTTACTTGACGACTGCTTCAAGCTGATTGGTTGATTTTAAATCCCATTGTTTTTTCCACCAATCAGATATTTTGTTACAGATTTTTCCATTGTTGTTACAGAATTTTGTGCTTGCTTTTAAGATTAATTGCACTGAAATCAACCAATCACAGTTGAGTTTAAGATTTTAATGTATATTATTAGATTGCTATGTACCTATTAATTACTTTATCAATAGAATCGAAAAAGGTTCAGTTTCTGGTTGAGAAAAACAAAGCTTTTTCTGAAGCATGGAGAAGTATGAATGAAGAAAGGAAAGTAGAGTACAATGCAAGAGCAAAAATGAGGAAGCTGGAAAAGTTTATTTGTTGCAGTCAAAGAAGGAGCTGGTTAACATATTGTGATTAAAACAGTTGAACCTACAGTACCTTATTCAGACATCGATCTTCAAATGAAGTTAACTGTTAAGTGACAGTGATCCTTTGCATGCTTGTGTTTACATTCAGCTGTATATCATGAATATACTTTCATTACAAACATTTTGCATAAAAAAAACAAAGATATAATGACTCGCTTCGTTTCAAGAAGTAAAATTGTTTTTCAATAGAATTCCGATATATATGGGTCAATACAAATTAAATCTTGCAGATCACTCGTAAATAACTGAGCCATTTTCTGGGCCGCCAATTGCCCAGAGGGTCACTGGCATGATACTTGCTCTTTAAGGCCAAAGCCTGCCTTTATGTTGGTAACCCTTCTATATGCTGTAATTTAGAGCTGTAATTAATGGATGATTTATACACAGGTGGCCCCCTAGAAAAAATATATAAAACATATATTTTAAAATGAGATATTACTTGCCTATTTTATAGTATGTGTTCTCCTTTTATTCCTCTTTTGATGGGGCTAATATTTTCTGAGATTTTACACTCGTTGGTTGTGGCTGCCACTTGTAATATATTACTGTATATGTATGCAAGTAGTAGGGTTGGGTGGTTTATCAATAAAACCGAAAGATTTAAAAAAAAAACGAATTAATCAATTTTTCTTTTGACAAAAAAACGGGGAAAAAACCCGAACAAAAATCGGGAAAATAGTTGAAACTTGCAGAAACAGTGCACAAAGAATAGTAGGTGGATCATAAATGGATCACGCACGTGAATAATTCGGAAGGCGGATGTCTGCGAAGACAGAGTTGATGTGTAGGACTCATTGTGAAAATATGTGGAGCTTAACATATAAATACCACTGTGCTTGGTACGGTATTCTACAAGTCTTTCAACAGCATTAACATGAGTAGAAGTTCAGTTTGGAATTTTTTAAGAAGCCTGAAACAGGGCAGGGTTCTGCCAAGTGCAAAATATGTTCAGGTTCTGTTAAGAACAAAGGAGGAAACATGTCAAATTTAATCCAGCATCTTAAAAGATTGCATCCTTCCCAATGTGGGATGATCACTCCATCAGGACGAAAGTCAGTACAGGAAAACAACGGCAGCCCAGTTTCGTCAGATACTCAACAGTCTCAACATCAAGTAAGGAGTATCATACAGTATCACCAACACTATAAAGAACGAGCCAAGAGTACGTGTGTTGGCCGTCTCCAAGAAGATTGTGGCAGCTTTTTGCACAAGTTGGAAGAGATCTTGCCGCCACCCAAGTTCAAGAAGAACCTGGACAGAAGTTCAAGATTTGACATCGGTGAGTATGAAGTAAACAAGATTGAATATTTTATCTTGATTGAATAATGTAGGGTGTATTTACTGTTTTATACTAAATGATTTTTACAATAATTTTAGATGTCCTCAATCCATTGGGGTCCCACTCAGCACATAATCAGCTGGGTGATGCGTAATAAGAAGGCCATTTGGTGAGTTCTTGGTAACGACAAGGACACAAGTGTTGATATAGCACTTGGTCCGCTTAAGGAATTCACTGACATTATGTCTGCGAGCAACTATGTACCAACAAATACATTGAAGCCAATTCTCCATTGCCTGTCAACCACTGAATTAGCTCCTCAAGATGATGATTTGCTGCTGACGGCCAAAATCAAGAACAAGGTCTTGACAAGATTGCAAGCACGTTTTGTTGATGGTGCACTTAAAGCTTTGATGAATGTTACATCGTTCTTGGATGCTAGGTACAAGACTGACTTTCTCGAAAGCGGCGAAATCAATGAAGTAAGAGAGGAGCTCTTGAAGAATGCTGTTTACCTAAAGTTCAGTGCCATTGAAGATGAAGACGACATCTTGCCATTGTGTGCTTCAAAGAAGGTAAAATTCAGCTTTGGAGCATTGACAAGCGTAAAGAAGAAACAGTGTCGCCAGCTTTCTCTCCACATAGTTGCCTCTCCAAAAAAATTGACATTTACTTGACAGATTCGGTTATCGATGGAGATGACAAAGCTATGGAATGGTGGAAGGTCAACACCAAGGATCTTCCGTTATTGTTGCAGTTGGCAAGAACACACCTTGCCATTCAAGCCACTAGTTCGCCATCGGAAATGTTTTTAACAAAGCGGGGCAAATTGCTACTTAAAGTGGACAAACTGGTCTTCCTGGCAGAATCTGTGAAGGAATAGATTTTCTGTCTTTCGCCAAGACATTGTAGGGCGACTCATTCAGACATTTAGCATACCATATACAATATATATTATTTGTAAAATATTCATTTTAATAAAGAACATAAAGAAGATAGTGACTAAATCAAATAAAATGTAAGGTTTTTTAACTCTTTCTCAACAGGGTCCAATTTCGTCGACCGCGAGCGGTCGACAGGCTCGAAATTTCATACTTTCGGTTCAGTGCATGCTATGAAGACAGAAATACCACCATTCGATTCAGAAATAAAATATCAACTAGTTCCAAACGATAGTTATAGTCATTATTAGTATTGTAACGATTTATGGGCCTTTGAAAGTCAAAACGATCATATTGTATCAAATTATGCAATTGTCTGAACAAAAATACAGATTATTATAGACTAGCCATACCTTTCGCCGAAAATAACTTCGGCCCCATCGAACATATCGTCTTTGTAGTAGTCTTGTTCGAATCCCCATTAAATAGTGTTTTTGGAGTGTTATTTGCAACCCTGAATCTACAAATCTGTATCTTTTATCAATATATTTCCATTTCTTGTCCGACTGTGAGCTCGAAGTGAATTAATCCCAACCGGAAATACGACTCAAAACCGTCAAAACAATGCGGCGTTTGTATCGTATGACCCTGGAAAGGCCAGAAATGGATTCGCAAGGTCAAATTGCACCTACACGCGTGAGTTTGACGTCATCCCGGCCAAAGGAGCTTCTTATTGGCCAATTATTGCGCAATGTACGCAAATGCGATTAAAACCCGACACTTGAAAAATTCAAAATAAATATTTCTAGTCGGCGTATACATACGAAACTTTCTACACGAAAGCGCTTGAATACAGAGAGTATTTTACACGTATAGCCGTTCAGCAAATGACGAAAAGTTCAAGGGGTATTCAAGATCTTGTGGATATGAAATTTAGAACCTTTGGCCAAGCGGTGAGTAAATATATGATTGTTTCGCTTTGTGTAATGTTTTGACGGCACTTGACCCCCCGTTCGAAAGGTTATTTTATGAGGATTTCAATGGTGGCATTTATTTAAAAGGGGGGTAAATACTCGCCAAGATATTTATATTAGAAAAATTGTATCGAAATGTAATACGAAACCGGTTGTCGAGAAAGAGTTAAAGTGTAAATGTGTGAAGGATTTGAAAACAAATTCATTTAAACTATTATACATCACACTGGTTAGATCGAAGTTATATTGTTCTCAAATCTGGGCTCCTCAGTCAGCCATTGGACAGCTGATAATGGTGGAAAGCATACAATGACGAGCAACAAAATTTATGTGTAAAACATCGAATCTCTCCTTTTAAGAACAACTAATATATTTAAACTTATTACCAATGAATTATTGGTTAGAATATTTTGAGTGTGAATTAGGCCTAATTTTAATGAACATAGATAATATATTCAACACTGTGATACTTGTACCATGTAGGGATGTTGTAAAACATCACTTTATCACGATTCTTATTTCAATAGATTAGTTCATCTTTGGAACGCGCTGCCTAGTACTATTCAAACGAGTGATAAAATATCAAACTTTAAGATTCTACTTAAAGACTTTTATGTTGAAAGACTAAGACAAGTATTTGATGGTGATAATATAAGAACGTTTAAACTTGTTTGTCCTAAATGTCGATGTGTAAATGCAATGTCTTGTTCTTAAGATGGACTATATACTTATCCTGAGCCAATGGCACGAAGCGCCGTGCAAGGGTACTAATTCATCCCGGCTATTTACACCCGGGGAAACGAAAGCATTAGCGAAGTCTACAATGTTTTGGTGGGTGGTCATCCTCACTGATCTCAAAAATATGGCGGACTGTCATGAATAGCAGACACTGAAGGGTTCAATTTAAAGTTTGCATTATAATGACTGCATGACGACAGCAAAATAGCAAACATTTCTTGATTTGATGATTGATAAATTTCTTGCAAATATATTTCATTTTTGCTCACATTTTTGCAAGATTTTGTAATGAATCGGCTAAAATAAAGGGAGCTGTCGATAATCGCTTTATGAGACGACAATAAAGACCTACGATTGGTTCTATTCCTTTTTAATATATAAAACATAAAAATATTTATACTAAATAAATGCTCTCGAAAAACGACAACGTTCCGCCATCTTGGATTCTCACACATGTTTTTATAACCCTATTTATCCCTACATATCCACATTTATAATGTCCTGTCCGTCTCTATCTCTAGATATCAACATGAATGATCGCTTGTCCGTCTATATCCCTACACTTTCCAACAGAGCCGATGTTAACAAAGGTAAGTTTGTTTTAAATATTGATTTTATAATTGATTTAAAACCCAACAGCCTTTGCATATATGAAACAACTAAACAAGACAGCATATAATTTCAGTGTATCTTTAATATTGATTCCCTTTTTTATTATATTGAATTTTTTAAATAAAAAAGAAAGCAAAGCATTTGCATGCAAGAATTTGAAATCATTTTATTGCAAACTCAAAGTTTATGGATAAAGCCATTTAATTAAAGGCAGTTTAGTTTTATAAAGAACACTTTAAAACAAATAATAATAACATACCTAACATATAAATGTTGGGAAATTGATAATTTTGAAATTAAAAGTGATATTTTTAGGCGATTTTTCATTTGTATGAATATTCTTAAAAAATTATTGTGTTACCATGACAACTCAAACATTCCAACCGTCCCGGTTTACCCGGGACTGTCGCGGTTTGGACTATGTTGTGCCGGTTTTCTTCGTATTGTCCCGGTTTCTGTAGTATTTTAATAGTTGTATTCTTCAAATAAGGCTCATGTGACAAATATTAATGAAATTCGTTTGGTTCAATACATATTAATGAAATGGGAGCTTCTACAATCCTGGTCAATAATCCTTGGCGCACTTAGTCGAAATAGCATAACCTTTACTTCATTTCTGATTACCATATAAATATTTGCCAATTTTATACAAAATTTCATGTCCAAACACCCCCTATCCCCCTTATCAATGTTGTGTAACACCTTGGACGTATAACACACTACAGACAACATTGAACGGGGGAAAGGGGGTTGCTATGCTTGTTATTGAAGTGGGAGTCAAATTTCGCACAGTCAGTGTCAAGTGCACCAATATTATTGACCAGGATTGTAGTTTCCCCAAACAATTGCTGAGTTTGTCGCCGATCGATGTAATTCTCGTGACATATGTTGTTTTGACAATTTAGCGGTCCCTTTCAATTCCTATTAATTTTGCCAGGGCTACATGAAGTAAAGCAGCGAACAGAAGCGGCGCAATAATCTTGGGCTCTTGAATACGAGATTTTTTGCGCCTTATATGCTAAATGACCCTGGTTTTTTATTATTACGCAGAAAACTAATACATGCGACTAAACTAATTTTATTATACATCAAACAACCCATTTATAACCCAAATAGACACCACATCAATGAGAAAAGTGCAGCATTTATTCGAGGGAGGCATTTATTTAAGTAAAATGGGAAAATTGGGAAGTGTTCCGGTTTTGAGGACTCGGAGGTTGGAATGTCTGACAACTACTTTAGATACCTCATGTTTGGAAAATGCAATGGTTTATACGTATTGTATTGTCAATCAGGTGTACTATCTAGTATGGAACCCCTGTGTCCTCTTATAGTTACACCTGCAGTTACAGGTAAATTTTTGCGACCAGCGAGCGAGCACCAGCGAGCGAGCTGGGAGCATCCTAATCTGTGCGTAGAAAATTTAAATATACCGCTGAGTTCGGATTAGCCCCGGCTCAAGATTCACGGATTCACCTCGGCTTGCATTCCATATTTGGAACATATTTCCATATTTGGAAGACCGCATGAAACGGTATATCCGCCGCTGTTATGCCGCCCAGTGTTTTATTTACTCATCGATACTGATGCAATTTTATACATGTACCTTTAACTTTTGTTCATCAAATTGTACATCAAATGAAGCTTAACTTAGCATCTACTAACTGTTGTAAGTCTGTTATTGAAGACAGATTTAAATAAACAAAAAGATTAAATGCTGTGCATGAGGATGTGATGTATACAAAGAAACGTCTGTTGTTTGAAAGTCATGTGCCGGGCTTTAATATTTATCTTTAAATTGCGCTTTGTCAATTGGTACTGTTATTGACACGTCATGCTATTCATAGAAGGCGACTTTGCGCTGTAGCGACAATATAATCACAAATGTATAAACTATTTGTTATGTAATTTGTAGCAAGTGACGTAATTGGATACCAATAGACCTTTCCCCTTTTAAGTGAAATTTTGATCTAGACAAGTCTGGACAAAAATTTCATCACAGCTTGAAAGAGTTTATATCACAAATTAGTAATATTCCGAAGTTTCGTTGCGAAATGTTGTAAAATGCGGATAATATAGCCTTGCGAAGTTTGCCGTTTTTCAGTCATTTTGATTACAAATGGGAAATTGATAATCAGTTTGATCACTGATTATCAATTTCCCATTTGTAATACCAAATGACTGAAAAACGGCAAACTTCGCAAGGCTATATTATCCGCATTTTACAACATTTTGCAACAAAACTTCGGAAAATTATTGATGCTCTTTCAAGCTGTGATTAAATTTTTGTCCAGACTTGTCTAGATCAAAATTTCAAAAGGGGAAAGGTCTATTAGTCAAGTTAATATTTTGATAAATTTACCTAAATTGGATATTCAGTGTAAATGGGCCGACTTTTATTATATAATGAGCAATATTAGCCCATATATTATCGCCACTCCTTTGCATAAACTTGAAAAGTTGTTACTGTTTTTTATTTTGAATATATCAATAGACAATATGAAATAAAGTACCTTGTCATGTGCATGTTTATTTGACGCAAATCGTTATATAAAAAATAAAACAAACCCGACCGACCGACTTTTGGCAAAAGTAAAGGATGATCACCAACTATCTGGCTAAAACAGCGTCAGTCGGCTGCCTCGTCCCCAGTCGCTTGCTATCGAATAATTAATTAGTAAAAGACGAAAAAAAATTAATGGGGGCGCGCGGGACGTTTAATTTTTTTCGTCTTCCCAGCATGCATCACAACAGATTTGTTCAGCCACTGATCTATATATTAAACTGATATGTCTATATATACACTGATCTACAAATAGTAAGGGCCTGCGGAGGAGGCAGGTCAGTCGGCGCGTTGTCATTAGTGACTAAAGTCTCCAGGTCGCACTTTTTAACCTGTGGTTACGCCTAGTTTAAATAAATAAATAAATATATTTCTATGCATTTCGTACATTTGTGAGTTATTCAATCGATTTTTCTTTTGACAAAAGACCGTTTGCACAAAGCATCAAGTATAAGGCCAATGAAAATTGATATCGTGTTTCTCGTCCACAATTTTCAAAAATTTGGAGCGGGATTTTTTAATTTTTCATTATTTTTTGTATTTGAATTCTGTTTGTCAATAATTTCCTTGACCCAGTAAAAAACCCCATAAAAATCTGAAGTATTAAAAATTGGTGCATAATTCATTTTAATTTAGTACGTCCTACACTACAGTCTACAGACTACAGTATATTTCTTTACATACCAGAGCTGACATGAAAAATAGAGGCATTCTGGCAAGTAATATCTTTAGAAAGATACAATTTGAGTTGCGCTTGCGGAATACAGCAATAAGTGTCATGTGTAATGAATGCGTAATGAGGTCGACACATTTTACTTGGCTCTATACTTCTGGGTTATTTTGTCTCTTCAATTGCTGTTTCTTGGCAGATTTTTACGAGTTAAAATGTGAAGAATCAAGTGGAGGACAATGTGGCCTCACTGGAATAGCTGATCCTACGGTTCAAAGTGAGAAATTGGAAAATTATTACAACAGTGGAACCAGTCAGGCGAATTATTTACCCAATGTCGAACTTTATACCTGCCTATGGTTTGGAAGCCTCGGCAATGCAGATTTTGTGATACAATATGTGATATCTGCTGTTGAGGCGGGTTTTACCAACAACATTGTGTCTGTGAGTGGTGTTTTTCCACCAAATGATATATTTATAACTTCTAAGCTTTTATTGGGAAAGTTTGACCCATGTATTATTAGATTAATATTATGCACAAATGGTACAAAGCACATTATACGTTTATTAAGATTAAGATCATCAAAGTTTTCAAAGTGCCGCGTTCTTTACTACCCTAACTCTGTTGCCTTGACGCAAATTTTGTTGCTCTCTGGTGACATTGAAAGAAATCCAGGTTGGGACGTGAGCGTTGCTCCAAATTATTTACAAGATTTTGTGAAGTCTTTAGACAAAGGATCAAACAACATGAAAGTTGCACAACATCAACACTCGTAGTATTCGAAATAAAATTGAGGAAGTGAAACTCCTGTTATACGTATGTCGTTTTGATATTTTGGCTGTCACCGAGACACATCTAAATCGTAAAATATCCAACAGTCAACTTGAAATTGAGAATTAGAAGATGGTCAGGAGAGATAGAAGTTCAGGAATGGTCGGAGGAGGATGTCTGGTGTATATTGCCAACCTATTTGTTTCACACGGCTTAAATCATTTGAATTGACGGATATTGAGGGCATATGGCTTAAGATATGTTTGAATCATCTGCATTCATCGTAGGTTCTATTTATAGACCACCATCTGACTCTGAATTCTTTCAAAGATTTTACGTTACGTTGGAGAAAGTCTGGTTGAAGTATAGAAATGTTATGGTAATCGGAGACTTGAATGCAGATTTTACAAGGAATAGAGGAGAAATCACATCAGCAATGGGCAAACGACTTCATAATATACTTCAGCATTTTGACTACTCAGTAGTCAATGATCAACCAACAAGGATCACTAGCGAGACATCCACTTTAATCGACTTGGTAATCGCCAGTAAGCCAAACACCATCAAATGTACGAAAACACTCGAGCTGGGGATTTCAGACCATCTGTTGGTGTATGCGTCGGTAAAGAACAAGATTAAGCGACCTCCACCTAAAGTGGTTACAGCTAGATCTTATAAACGATTTGACAACGAAGCGTTTATAAAAGATGTTGAGGAAGCACCGTGGGCTGTCATCTCTGTCTTTGACGATCCTGATGACAGCTTCTGGGCCTGGTCACACCTGTTTAATGAAATATGTGATAGACACGCTCCCTATAGGCAAGTTAAAATTAGGCAACAGTCATTACCTTGGATAACTCCCCAGATTCGACATCTGATGAACTTGCGTCTGAAAACGTTTTTGAAGGCTAAGAAATCAAATAGCCAGGAACTGTGGTCTGAGTATCGTAGCCTTAGGAATAGAGTAACTCAAAAGGTCAGGCTGTCGAAAAGTGAATGTTATACTAACTTGTTTGATGAAGTTAAAGATTGTCGATCCTATTGGAAACTGGTGAAGAATGCTTCAGGTAGTCGAATTGTCCAGCCAATTTTAGGTATAAGGGGAAACGATCAAATCATCGAAACATCTGACTCGCGGAAAGCAGAAATCCTTAATAAACATTTCTCTACTATTGGAGAGAAATTAGCGAGTGAATTATATTCGGGTCAAAGTCAGGAAAATCCTTTTTCGCATATTATTCGTGTTACACCAACAGTAACGAACATTGAACTTACTTATGATTCGATTATGCAAGGTTTAATGAAACTAAAGAACAATAAAACTTGTGGACCGGACAACATCGCACCAAGATTACTTAAAGGTGCTGGTCATGTTTTAATTCCATCGTTGTTTTCTCTATATTCAATGAGTGCGTCGTGCAATACTGTCCCAAGCACATGGAAATTTGCAAGAGTTTCTGCCTTGTTCAAGAAGGATGATGAAACCGATAAGCAAAATTATCGCCCAATTTCTTTATTATGTGTCCCTGGTAAACTCATGGAAACTCAGGTTGTTTCTACCATCACAAACCATGTTGAGCACCATAATCTTAGCAATAAACACCAGTGGGCTTATAAGAAGGGACATTCTACGCAGCTACTTTTAGCTAAGATGACCGAAGATTGGAGGAGTGCACTGGATAGTAAGTTAGTTGTTGGTGTTGTCTTTATTGATTTCCGTAAAGCTTTCGACTCTCTACCTCACAATATTCTGCTCTACAAACTTCAAAGTTTGGGTATTGCAGGTGACCTATGGTGCTGGATAAGAGATTACCTCACTGATCGCCATCAAGCAACAGTTGTAAACGGCTACAAATCAGAATCTATGCCTGTTAGGTTTGGAGTACCTCAAGGGTCAGTTCTTGGTCCTATACTCTTTTCAATATTCTGTAACGATTTACCAGATGTTGTAGTTGATGAAAATGAGGATGTTGAGATGTATGCGGATGATACAACATTGTACGTAGTAGCTAGGACTCACGATGAAGTTGCCAATATGCTGAATAAAACTTTAAAGAAGTTATATGAATGGTGCTGTCTAAATGGACTGTCTCCTCACCCGGGTAAGACTGAGTACATGCTTTTAGGTCGAGGGAAATTTACTGGTCCACCCCAGGACATCAGATTTGGAAACAATAGTATTAAACAGGTGCTGGTTTCTAGATGTTTGGGATTAGAAATTGATTATCAATTAAATTGGACCTACCATGTTTCTGAAGTTATTAAAGCATTTACTCAGAAGTTGAATTTGTTAAAATCATTATACTTCCTCCCGAAAAAAGGTAGAGAGGATTTTTACTTCAAGGTTATACTTCCATCCATAACCTACGGACTAATGATTTGGAGCTCGTGTTGCAAGACCCTCATGGATGAAATAGAGAGAATTCATGTTCGAGCTGCAAAGATCATCTACAAACTGGACTGGAGTACTCCCAGCGACCAAGTGCTGGTGAAAGCTAATTGGAACACTATCAGGGACATGAACTCAAAATGTCTGCTATGCTTTGCATATAAGTGTTACTATGGTCATGTTCCAGAACAATTACAATCTATTGTTAGAAAAAGTAATTACACATATGATTTTAGAAGGAAGTTAAGTTTAGCCTTACCTGTGCCTAAATCTAATTATGTTAGAAATTCAATATATTATAAGGCAGCTAGTCTGTGGAACTCTTTAACGAACTGGGTAATAAGTTTTTATTAATATAATATAGCTTAAATTATTGTTGTAAATACACGACCACATCAGTTCAGCTGTAATCTTATCGTGTTAAAATAAATGCTTTAGTAGTTGTTGAGGACGCCATATAAACTTTCAGACGGAGATTCCTTTAGATTAAATTGGGATTGAGTCAAAGCACATTTCTCTCTAGGATCGCCATTACAGAGTATCTTTTATTGAGTTCAATACATGGACATGACACGTGACATTAATTACATACATTTAGAATATATTAGTTTATAGTTTTACACTCCCACTTAAACTGATAATTCTAATTACAACAATAAAGTTTCTATGTTTACATGAATATGTGTTGTTGTTTTTGTTAAATTGTTCATTGTTCAATGCAACGCAACATAACTTAATTTTAAGATATTATGGGATATATTTTAAAAGGATATATATCACTAATTGTTTAACTGAACAATTTATCAACCTACAAGATGTCCTATAAACTTACCTACTTTGAGCCTTGTGACTGGCTTGGTGAAGAGATCGGACAAGTTCTCTTCAGATGGTACGTACTTTACATCGACAGTTCTTGACTGGATTTCTGTCCTAATAAAGTGATATCTTATGTCTATGTGTTTGGACCTCTGGTTTTGCGCAGGGTTTTTGGCAAGGAAAATGGCACTTTGGTTATCACAATGGATTATGGTTGGTTCGAGAATAAAGATGCTAAGGAACTCCCCTAGTAATTGCCTAAGAAACTTAGCTTCCTGAACTGCAGCTGCTAGCGCCATATATTCAGCCTCACAGGTTGATAGCGCTACCGTTGGCTGTTTCCTACTTTTCCATGAGATGGCTGGTCCATCTTTTGATAGTTTAAAAACATAACCTGTAATACTTTTCCTGTCTTCCGATGATCCCCAATCAGCATCACAGTACCCGTGCATACTCAATCCCTCCTTAGACTTTTTAAAAGTGAGCTTATTATCTATAGTACCTTTTAGATAACGAAGCACATGCTTTGCCATACAAAGATGGACATTGGAAGGATTTGACATATGCTGAGATAACTTTGTCACAATAAAGGAAAGGTCGGGTCTAGTTGATGTCATCACATAGATAAGGCTCCCAACAATTTCCTGATACAACTTGAGATCAGCGGGTTCGTCTGAATTCCCAGCACTTGCCTTATTGACTCCAAGTTCGCTTGGAGTCACCCTTGGTTTGCATCCTTCCATTTTGAACCTAATTAAAATTCTCTCGATGTACCTAATCTGATCCATAGTTATAGTGTTGCCAGTAAAGGTAAAATTAATACCTAAGAACCATGAAAGTATTCCAAGATCTTTCATCTTAAACCTACAACTTAAATCATCTTTCACTTGTTTTAGTGAGGGTGTTGAATTGGATGCTATAATAATATCATCTACCCATATAAGCAAAATAGTTGTCTTGCCATTTTGTTTCTTAATATACATGCAAGGGTCAGAAACAAGTTGTGTAAAGCCTTTACTGGTCAAGAAAGTGTGCAACATATGGTTCCAGTTGCGCCCACTTTGTTTGAGACCATAAAGTGATTTGTTAAGTTTACATACTAACATTTCCCCAGACTCACTGTGTTTGACAAACCCTTCTGGCTGCTCAATATACAGTTCACAGTCGACTGGTGCATTGAGGTACGCCGTCTTGACGTCCATTTGATGCACTTCCATGTCAAGGTCTAGGGCCAACTGCATCAACATACGGATTGATGTTATCTTTGCTGTTGGTGAAAATGTTTCAAAATAATCAACTTCAGGTACTTGTGAATACCCTTTTGCGACGTAGCGTGCCTTATAACTCTTTTCACCATTTTTACCTTCCTTAACTGTATACACCCAACATGCTCCCACTATGCTCTTACCTTCAGGTAGTTTTGTGAGTGTATAAGTATTGTTTTCACTTAAGGATGATATCTCTTCATTCATGGCCTCACACCATTTTTCAGAATCTTTTGATTTAATGGCTTCTTTATATGATTTTGGATAAACAGATGTAGCACAACAGTAGTCTACATTATGGTTTATCACATCATCGTCATCTAGATCATTTTCTACAATGTAGTCATTTAAATGGGGTGGCCTTCTAGTGTTCCTTACAGGGTATCTTGGTTGTGGAGCAGGCTCATGATTTTCAGCTTCAAGTAGGCCTGCCTCAACATTGTCAGGTTGCAAAGGGACATTTCCCCCCTCAGGCCTTACTTGAGGAAGAGCCATTTCTGCTCCAAGTCTTATCTCTCTATGAAGAATATCATCATTTGTTTGGATATCATTATCTTGCTCAATGATTTTAAACTTATTTGTAAATTTCACATTCCTTATTTTTTGAATTTTCCCATTTTCTGGGAAAAGGACTAAATAGGCTGGACTACTTTTGTCATAGCCAAGGAAAATTCCCTTTTCACACCTTGCATCTAACTTTGTCTTATTTTGGGTGTATGCAAAACACTCAGTCCCAAAGATTGCCATATTAGACAAATTTTGGCTTTTTATTTGTTAGGGCCTGGTAAGGAGTTTGTTTATTCCGGTTGTTATAACACCTATTACGTATATAGGTTGCAGTGAGAACTGCATAAGGCCAAAATTTCTTCTCAAGTTTTGCATCTATGAGTAGGCACCTGGCCATTTCAAAGAGTGTGCGCCAGTTTCTCTCTGCCGTCCCATTTTGGTGCGGGGAATATGGTGCAGACGTTTCGTGTTTAATCTTATTCCTTACAAGAAGAGATTTGTATGCATTATTTGTAAACTCTGTACCATTGTCAGATCTAATGCATTTTATTTCCCATAAGGGGAGGAATCTGCTAAAAATTTCTCTGTAGCACTTAATGTATCAGATTTTCTCTTAAGTATGTGAATGTGGCTCCTGAATAATCATCAGTATATGCCAAAACATACTTAAAACCTTCACTAGACTCCGGTGTAACTGGGCCTGCAAGGTCTGCATGTACAAGCTCTAAAGGAACCTTTCCTTTAGCATCTGGATCTCTATTTCTTATGTTTGTCATTTTTCCCAAAATGCAAACTTCACAATCACTTACCTTTTTCTTATTGTTGATAGACATACCATCAACAACATGTTGTAACTGTAGGGTATCCTTAACATTGCAGTGCCCTAAAATTTCATGCCAAGTTTGCAGATCATGTGCAGCAGACTTGATAGAGTATAAGTAATAAAGACGCCCCCTTTTCTGAATGTCGAATTGTGTGCCATCACCTGCGCTTAAAAAGGCTTGCCCCCCTGGCTGGAATGAGATGGAGGCACCATTTTCAGATGCCGCTTGAACTGAGAAGATATCTTGACTAAAAGAAGGTACGTACAATGCATTTTGTAAAGTTACACTATGTTGATTACCTAGTTTATCTTCTAAGAGAACATTTGCATCACCTCTTTTTAAAGCTATATTATTATACCTTGTCCCATCAGCTAATTCTATGAAATGTACTTCAGGGTTAAAACTCTCATCAAAACTTGTAAATTTACTTTTATCATTTACTATGTGGGTTGTAGCCCCACAATCTACAAGCAAACTTGCCTTCAAATAGTCCACATCGTTCTCTGCAGGTGCATCACTTACTATGAAAGCAAATGATCTGCGCGCTTCTTGATCTTGAACACTCTTGGCCGCTTGTGATCTTTCATCTTCCTTCTTGTCCTGGTTTTGGTTTTTCCTTCTACAATCCTTTGTATTGTGGGTTCTTGTCTTACAATGACTGCACCATTTCTTCGATCTTGTACACTGATCAGCTTTATGTCCGTACTGTTTGCACGCGAAACATTTCATTTTCGTATAAAACCCCGTTTTCATAACGTTGTTTTTCTCCATGGGTTTTTCGTTTTCCTCGAATGCCCGCAATGCCACTTTGAATTCTGTGTACGATGGCTGCTTGTCTTTTTGGGTTATAACCGTGTTGAATGCTTTAAATTCAAGTGGCAGTCCCTTTAAGATCATTGCTATCAGTAGAGCATCGCCAACTTCTTCACCGGCATTCTTTAATGCCGCTGTAGCCGCCTCGGCCCGCAACATGTAATCGGTTACACTCTCGGCTTCGCCTTTGTTAAGTGTAGTCAACTTGGTGTATAGTGCGATGATTTTTGGCTTTCCACTTGACATATAATGCTCTCGGAGTATGCTTATGGCCTTTTTACCATCGTCCTTTGCATCTCTCATCACCAATGACAACGATCGGTCGTCTAAAACTTGGATTAGTTCCGCATAAACATCTGCGTTTTTCGCTTCATTTGGTTCAGCACTCTCTACCGTTTCTTTCAATTTTAAAATGTGGAGATATCCCATAAATTTCGTCTCCCATAGCTCATATTTTCTCTCGTCTCCGTTAAAAAGTATCTTCGCCCTGGGCCCATAACCTGTTGAGGACGCCATATAAGCTTTCAGACGGAGATTCCTTTAGATTAAATTGGGATTGAGTCAAAGCACATTTCTCTCTAGGATCGCCATTACAGAGTATCTTTTATTGAGTTCAATACATGGACATGACACGTGACATTAATTACATACATTTAGAATATATTAGTTTATAGTTTTACAAATTTAGTTAAATATATTAGTTAAACCCAATTGTTGTAAATAATGCGTAATTCAGCCTGGCGACTGTTAAATTGAAACGTACAACGTACTCATGTCTTGACTGTAAACACTTTGGATGGACATCCTAGTAAATCTCCTGTACCTTCACTTCATGGTCACTAGAGGCAGGTTATGAAGATGGCCGCCAGTTTTTAAGTACTATTTAAAAAACGAGCAGAAGTGTTTTATTAGGTTTAAAGCCACGGGCGCGCAGCGCGAGTGGCTTTAGACCTAATAAAACACGACCCGCGAGTTTTTTAAATGACTTCAAAAACGTATGCATAATAAGTCAAATCTTTATATAAAAATCTTTATATAAAAACCTTTATATAAAAATCTTTACATAAAAATCTTTATATAGTTTGCATAACAATGGTCTTTTGTTAAAGTGTTCTTTAGCTGGTATAAAGACGTATGCACGTGACTAATTTCTTACTCAAGATTGGATAATTTTTGAAGATTATTAAAACGTAAAAGAATTAACAACCAGCCACGTTGCAACAATACTAAGGGAGTGGTCATTATTTATGGGGAGGGGGGGGGGGGAAAATAAGGATTGAAAACTTTTGACACCTCCAGACTGCCTCCCCTCATAAAAGTAGAAACCCCCCCCCCCCCCCCCAGTGTGGATTGAAAAATTAACAGCAATGAACAGGTGTGCGTTGCAGGTAAAGTTAGATATTAGGACAATCCGTTTAATCTAGCTCATGATGTTTTACCCTGGTGAATATGATTCAATCATATATGATTAAAAAATATATATTATGTGTTACTACTTTGCAATGCAACATTTGTCCTACCATAACCCTAACCCATGGCCCGTCTTCACACAGCGAAATGATTTGAATACAGGGTTTTTAAAAAACTTGTCTGAGGGTGGGCATCTACAAAAAGGGACCACACTATATTGAGTGTGGAGAGATGACAGATGGTTGTTGGTGACAAAAAGTTTGGTGTGGTATCGTATGTACTAGTAGTGAGGTCTGGGGGTATTCTCCCTCAGAAAATTTTTTGTATTTTTCCACCCCTAGAACTGAAATGTGAGCATTTTCTGAAACAGATTTTTGGATATACAGCGTTACATTGTGCGTTGATAGACCGAATCTGATCAGTTATGTGTACTTGCATGGCATGTTTATGTAAATACCACAACTGGGTCACTCAGGGGGTAGAAAGCTTGTTAAACTTAGTGGGCCCGGCTCCCACGATCCCGAGGCGCTACCATATGGTTGGCGCCGAGCAGATTGTGATTATAGAAATAAGAACTCTAGACATGGTATTTAAGTTCAAAAACTTTTCTGACCTCCCCTTTCTCTGTGTTAAAAACTTTTTTGGCCCCCTATTTATAAGGGTAAAACTTCGTTTGCCCCCCCTCCCATTTCCCAACCCCCCTCCCCATAAATAAGACCACTCCCTAAACCTTATCCTCACCCCACACTTAATCCTAACCCCCACACTATCCCTAATACTATAACGCGAACTCTTATTTCAATTTTGGAACTATCTCGTAAACTACCTCTCGTCCATCCCTTTCACAAACATTACCTTCACACGTAGAAATGATTGGAAAATGCAGATAATGCCAAACTCGGACAATCTGTTTGAATGTTTATGGACAAAAATTGACACACAAAACTCGAATGTCTATGTTGGAACTATATACCACCCTCCTGATCACGATTATAATGAGAATGACCTAATTGAATATTTGATAGACACATGCGAACAAATACTGTCTGTTAAACCAAACTCCAGAATAATCATTGCGGCTGATATCAATAAATTAAATATTCGAAATCTGCTCAATCAGCTGTCGCTCATCCAACTTGTTAAAGTTCCCACAAGGGGCCAAAATATACTTGATGTCTTCATTACGAACGCTCCTCACGATTGGAAAAAAGTTAAAGTAGTGAAAAGCTTAGTAAAATCTGATCATGATATGGTAATAACCTATCCCCGAGATGTAATTAAAGCAGAAAGGAAAAATTCCTATTTTAGAGATGTAAGACAACATAAGAAAATAAATATGTTATATGAATTAGGAACTGTAGACTGGAATATGATAACCAAGGATGGGCAAACTCCAGATGAAATGACGCTGAAATTTTATGAAACGATGTGGCCGATATTTGAAAAGTGCTTCCCACTAATTAAGGTTAGAACCTCTTCACGTGACCCACCGTTTATGTCACCCCTTGTAAAGCATTTGCTAAAGCAAAGGAAAAGATCTATACAGAAGAGCGATTCCGAATCTCACGCTCGTTTACAAGACCAGATAAACAAGCTAATTCGAGAGAACCAGTTAAATGCCGTCAAACAAGAGAACAAAAATCAGAAAACCGGATCAAAACAGTGGTGGTCCAATGTGAACAGTATTACAGGAAGAAATAATCGGAGTCGATCTGTCAGTGCAGCCTTTGATCCTAGTGAGATAAATGTATACTTTCAAAATATAAACTCGGATCCTCAGTACGCGGCTCCAGAACCTGTCGAGATCCCTGATGGCACCAGGGTTCCTTCGCTCTCTATAAATACTACTCTACACCTTTTACAAAATCTAAAACGAACAGCATCCGGGCCAGATGATCTACCTTACTGGTTTTGGAAGGAATTTGCATTTGAGCTTGCTTCTACCATAACAAATATATTTAACACTTCATTGAAACTTAGCATAGTTCCTAAAATGTGGAAACATGCAAATGTACTACCAGTACCTAAAGAATCTATCTTAAACTCTCTTAATCAACTAAGACCAATCTCTTTAACAGATATTATAATGAGATTATTTGAAAGAAGTGTGTTCAAAACTGAGATAGCACATGTTACAAGACACTCTATTGATTCAGATCAGTTTGCATACAAGGAAGGTCACAATTCGATTATGGCTCTGATCAAGTGCCAACACACATGGTTAAGATGGTTAGAAGGAGATGCAAAATATGTCAGAGTATTATCTTTTGACTTTCGCAAAGCATTCGATAGCGTTCCACACGATATTTTATGTGAGAAGCTTAAGAAGCTCCCCATCAACCCATATGTTACTAATTGGCTGATTAGTTTTTTGGAGGATAGGAAACAGAGGGTAGTGGTTGATGGAATAGAAACTGAATACTTGAACATTAATCGAGGTGTTCCCCAAGGAACAGTTCTGGGTCCTGTCCTCTTTTCGATCATGGTGAATGACATCAAAACAGTTAACCCCATAAACCAGCTAGTTAAGTTCGCGGATGACATGACATTAGAAGTACCAGGGAATGAAAACGGAGATACATCACAAGCCGAAGTGGACAGTATACAAACATGGTCTGAAAATAATCGAATGTCCTTAAATATGGAAAAGACGTATGAAATGATTGTTAGGAGAAATATCCCTACGCTGTTGCCTGATCCTTTTCCATTTATTAAACGAAGGACGTGGTTAAAGATTTTAGGAATTACATTACAGGATCTCCCTTCCAAGTGGGATTTGCATTTTGATGAAATGTTGAAAAAAGCCAGTGCAAGAATGTACATAATGCGTGTTTGTAAATACTATGGCTTCCCAATCAAACAACTGGACATGCTGTTTAACACTTTAATTATGCCTATAATCACTTACGGCATAGAACTTTGGGGAGGCGCATACTTCAATAAATACATTAGTCAAATAGACAAATTCATCAATCGCGCTCACAGAAATGGTTACATATCGGAAAAATTGAATATTAAGGAGATAAGCATCAAAAGGGACAAGAAACTTTGGGATAAAGTAATACACAATAAAGATAATGCACTACAGGAGCTTTTACCAGATAAATTAAATAGACACCTTAGGCCAAGGGGACACGAGTTTGAACTTCCATTAGTGAGAACAGAGCGATTTAAAAGTTCTTTTGTAAATCGATGTTTGTTTAACTTTGTTTAACCAATTTTAACCTTTACCTTTTTAACATTATTAATATTTTTTATCCATAACTGTATATATCTAGTTATTACCTTATAGATATCAATAATTTTATCTTATATATTTTTATAATGTAAACTCACAGACGGGTGTTCTTGAGTATGAATAAAGACTGTTATTATTATTATTATTATTATTACAGCTGTAATAATATTATCAAGCAAAGCGCTCGATCCGTTTCGTGTAAAACTATTTGTTTACATTTTGCTTCAAAGTGCGCACTTGTTCATGCGACTCTTTTTTTGCTTGACCAATTAGAGAGTTTACGATTCACGACGCGGCGAGAGAAGGCGCGTTATAAAGGCTTGGTAACTAGTGCGGCCCAAGCCGCGTCGTCTTATTATGTTCCCTACGTTACGAAAGACAACGCGCCATAGCGTAAAACGTTTATTTTAGCGGGAATATTATAGGTCTTTCAAAATCTTTGTAATTTTTGCTTAACTTGATTTTTATGTAAAATAATAACTTTTTAACGAAATGTTTAAATGGCTTCCTTTGGCGACATTTGGCTCGGCCTTACACAGACAAAAGTTTAGATTAAAATTTAATCGAAAAACTCGATTAAAAAGGCTCAAAACGAAAAACAAACTCGGCCAAAATCTCGATATTTAAACGGAAAAAATCTTTAAAATAATAGCTAAATACATGAACTCGTACTTAAGAGAGGATGTCCACAAAAATCAAACATAAGGCGGCCACGACGGAAAAATCGATTTTGCTCAAATTTTGCCCAGATATACCTTATTATATCGGAAAATGCACCATATATTTTTTTTAGGTCAAATGCTTTTTTAACTTTGAGAAAATGCCGTTTTAACACGACCACCCTAAATCGCCATTTTGTCTGGGAAAATATGCGCTGATTTTACCGACAAATTTCACGACGACAACCGTTTCTAAATGATCTAAAACCCTCAAAATCTTGTTTTCGGTTATTCAAAGGACCGGGTACGTGACTTACAGGAAATCTGAGTTACTTTTAGGAATAGAAATAATCGTAGTTTTGGAGCACACTATCTTACCTCATTTACGATACGCTCTTAACAAAACCGATTTTCACCATGGGATAAAGCTCCAAATCGATCATGCTTCTACTAGTTGGCTCTTTAATAAACAAGCTTTCAATTGACGTAAATACTTCTTTGGGCAAATGAATACGCGATAAACGACAGCGCGTTGAAATCGTCCGTTTTTGACGTCTTGTAAGCAAACGCTGTTAATTTACATACCGTCGAAGTAAACAATTTAATCAAGTATTTTAAGTATTTTACCTTTTGATAAGAAGATATATTCTTGAATGGAGACTTTTTGCCTTGCTAAGTTTAAAATTGGTCCAGAAATCCCGATATATTTGTGAAATATCATCATATACAGGTATTTTGAGATATAATATTGTTGTCAGTTGCATGATAACTTCAGATCACTGTTCAATATTGTCTACTTTTAATAGCGCTAACATACAAAGCGATGAGCTGTTTAGGGATTATATTTGTTACTAAATTTACCAAAATAATTAGAACTACAACTGCTGTTTTCAGAGGTTTTGTTCCATTTTGTCCATATTATTAAATTAATGTACCAGTTATGTATCGACTATAATGTTTACGAAGACGTAAGTTAATTATTAAGCAGGTGTTATGCGTGCGTGTACATGAAATGAACGTTTATAATGTTTATCAATATAAGGAGTTTTTATTTTTAGTTTACCAGCC